ACGCTGGTGTCTCTCGTTGTGCCTTCTTTGAAAGTTTTCTGATATAGGATAGTTTACTGAACTAAATGAAACATCGTGCGAACCACATTAAAAATCTCGAGAGTATGACTTTCAAAAATGTTTGCGCACAACTTAAAAATCTGGTGCACACAACTTTTAAACCCTATTGTATGAGTGTGACTTGCTATCGAGTTAAAGTTAGGGTTGAAGAAAGAGGCCGGGTTAATGTTCGATTTCGATTTTAGGTTCGAGTGATATGTCGAGTTCGAGTTTAAAGTCATATGAAACGAGTTTCTGGTAATTATTATGTTGAGTAAAATATTGAACCAATGCATGCATATATATCAAAACAAGTCTTCTATGCCCGTTTTTTTTCTCACTCACACGTCGAGTAAGAGTTCGAGGTAAAAAGAATGTGTCAAAAGTTTCTATGTTTTTACGGATTAATTAAATTTTCAATAGAAAAATAATCAAAACACAATTGAAACAATCGTGATTTCTGGAACAAAGTAAATAAGATTAAGATTAAAAAGAAAAATAAAGTAAAATGACAAGGTGAAAATCAACAATCGAGATGGAGTTGACCATCTCTGAGACAAACAAAGTACTTGATATACTTTCATGTAGTTGATTTTTTTTTTTAAATAGAAACATTATAATGTAAGACAGCAAAGTTCTTAAACATTCACATTTTGAAGGTATCAAACGTTATATATAAAACTCTCCAGCCAGAGCTAAAACTAGATGAACAAAGAAAAGATGGAAATGTCGAAGAAAAAACTGTTCGCCAATGAAAAGTTTTGCCTACTAAGTGGTGAACATAAGTGAGAAAGAGAACAAATTATTCTGATTATACTGCAAGTGTAGGCGATTACTTGTACGTGTATCAAGCTTGTGAAACGCACAGACATGGAAAAATTTAAGCTCAACGAATAATACTGATCATTGTAATTCAAAGAAAATTTTCTAGGCTTTCGAGAATTATGAATCCGTGGGAATCTGACTATGTCAAAAAACCCTAAAAATATGTTACTTACTACCTAGAAGATTTGTTATGAATGCCATTGATACATCAGCTGTGACAATGATGAAACTAACAACAAAAATAAGATTTTCTATAGTTTTGCCATATCACAATACCAATTGCTTAAACAAATTCCCTAATTCCATTTTGAAATATCTCTACAAACTGATCAACTAGTAAACATATTTTGACTAATTGCTTTAGTGAAAGGTTGTTAGTATGAAGTGAACGCTGTGAAATTATATTAATGCTTACCACCAAATCAAGCTTTTTAATATCTGTGCCATGAAATTGCCTCTACATTGTATACTATTATAGTGTTTTAAAAGGTTTGACTTGGATATATACTGAATACACTAACTCTTATATATTTTTTTGAACTTGTCTCGTACTTGTGCTATCAAGGTTCATATTGACATTTTAAAGTAATTTTGTTTTAATCAAAATTTCCTGTAATATCAATTTATCATCATGTGTACATTTATTCGTTAGATAAGTGGAATTTTGGAAAAAAAACTGTCAAAAACATAATATTAAAGGGCCATAATCAGAGTTGTATAAATCATAAAGAGTCTTCTGTAAATTATATACAATTCCTAAATATAAATTATTTCCTTTTAATGCTAGCAGATCAGTAATTGCTTTAGAAAAAATATCAAAAATAGAATTACACAATAACTTCCTGCAAAAAAAAAAACAAAGCAATAAATTATTGACCAATAAATTAATGACCAATAAAACAATGTTAAAAACTAATTATTTATAGAATGTACTGATTCTAATTGTCGTCCATTTTAAAGAGTCCCTTTACCTATAAATCTTCATACAACAGGAAAGAAAACTGGGTGTTTAAATTGATACCGTTTGTTATTTTAAGAGTAATTCTCTATTGTTACACATAACTTGTAATTTTGTATGTGCGTTTTAAAAAGGTGTATTAGGCTGGGCCTTGAAACCTTATAAAGTTGATTAATCCTAGGAAAAGGAGAAAATTTTAAGAGTGACTTATTTTAATCAGGTCCTTAAAAATGATGTTATCGGAATGAATATTGTTAGAGATTGCACTTCTATAAATATAAACTTCTTTTACCGCTAAAACTGTGCACTTTTCCTATAAAGTTTCGTAAAATATTATATCCTGGAATGGCAATATCACATGCAAGTACTTTTTTTTTGCGAAGGTCAAAACATAGGGTTGTGCGGTATATTTTCTACATTTACATGCCTAGAGCTTCTAACAGTTTAAAATTACATTAAAATTCTGAACTGCCCTTCCCTCTACTTTGAGTCTTTTAGTTATTTTCATTTACTAGCACTGGGTCGATATCTCTGCTGGCGGACTGTTAGTTCCCAAAGGTATCATCAACTTAGAATTCAGTGTACTGACATGATTCATAACAAAAGTTCCCAGTTGATAAATTAAGAAATTATTAAAAAACTAAGGTTTCAACTCCATCAAGCAAAGTTGACCTAAGATGAATATTGCTATTCTTTTTAAGGTGACTCGGGTGTCCTACTCCATCTTGGATGTTGAAGTAGCAGATAACAATTGGTCTAGATCTTTGATGAAATGTGCAAATTTTGAGAGTAGTATGTAATTCATGTGTAAGACTTTTAATGTTGATATAGAAAATTATGTGCTTTATCATATTTACGGCTGTATTTTCTAAAAAAAAACATAATAATTTTGTTTGATTCATTTTTTTCAACTTTATCAAATAAGGGGAGATAACTCAGATAGAAGGGGAGATAACTCAGATAAAATTATTTTATAATAGAAAGTGTTGTGAATTTACCTATTTTAATATGTAGAAAGAAAACAAGTCCGATTTCCCCATTTTTTCTTTTTCTTATCTGAAAGCATGTTATAAGAGCTATCTTCTCACATTTTATCTTAAAATTCTATGGTGTATTTTTTTTTTATCACACAAAATTGGATTTTCCATGCATAATCTATACAAAATCTGACAATTTTGCACAACCTGTAGCGTGAAAAAAAGTCCGGTGACCCATACTTTTTATTATTTTTTTTGGAAAAAAGCATGATAAAAACTTCATTTTGACAAATTATTAAAAAATTCTATGGATTTTAATTAAGACCCCCAGCCACCTTAAGTCTCTTCGGTCATAACACTTCTAAGGTGGCTACATACTTTTACATCCTTAGCTTGCAAATGTTTATGTTTTGACGTTCCTAAAGAAGGAATATACACAAAAGCACTTCGGACTCATCAAATGAGTGACATTTTGATTTAAACGTACAATACCTGACCATTCGTGTTGAATTAACTCAAAAATGAATTGACAATGGCAAACTTGTCTTGCTTTCTTTTCCAAATCAAATTGAAGGAGGCAATACAGTTTGATACTTTATTGGTTAAGATTCAACCCCATCACTTCACAAGATATATAAACGGACCAAATGGTCATTCAAACTGTTAAGTGTCCTGGATAAATGAAATTTATTTCTTCCGTATAAGTGATAACATCACGTGACACTCAAAGATTTAGAACTAGTCTCTAAACGAATCTGTAAACGAAAATTACAAAATAAAGATATTATTCATATTAAAGGTAAGACGTTATCAATTTTCTTTCAACCTCAAAGCAATCATAATACATTAAAAATCCATCTGATAAAATTATAGGGATGCATCGATTTTCAGTGCCCTATACGAAGTAACTCAATTATAAGAAGTAGAACTGATAGCTATTTTCAAATGAGACCTGATAATAAATTTCAGGACACTCTTATTTGTAGTCCACTAAAATAATGCGATATTTGTTTTATTCTTGACCATCGCGTGTTAAAACATATAAGTATTCGGCAAACAGGTAGTTAATGGGAAATGAATCTGGCCTTGTGTTAATTTGCTCTCATGGAGCGAATTTTAGTTTTAGCTCTGGCTGGAGAGTTTTATATATAACGTTTGATACCTTCAAAATGTGAATGTTTAAGAACTTTGCTGTCTTACATTATAATCGTTCAATTATGTCGAAATGTCGGTTAGTGTGCTTTACTTTAATATAACAGTCTTCCTTGAATGGAATAAAAGCTATGGAGTATGGTATATCATGGATAGAAAAATAAACACGTGTTTTCACTGATGAGTCTTTAGAAGACGAAACGCACGTCTGGCTTACAGAATGTTAAGGGCAAACGATACAGTTTTGATCCCAAGGTGATTTTTTACGAAAATTTGCATACAAGCTATTTTTCACCTGGTAAGTTCAAATATGTAATAAAAAATATATCTTCATGTGGTATTTTAAGAGATAAATGGGGTCGAAATTTTAGACATTTCCTCAAAATTTCGGTTTTTTGGACATTTCTATCCTTTGGATAGACATACCTATCTGTTTTGTTTCAAAAGAAAAACACTAGCGGATTTTTGTAAAAGCATATGGAATATCTTCTTTACATATGTATGCTGTAAATAAAATTTGTATAACAATTCTTTGGAAATAATTAATTTTTTTCAAAGTTTTATGATTTTAGAAAAGAAACGGCATTTTTTGCTGTATATTTATCTGATTTAAAAAAAATCATCGATGACTTTTTCATAAAAGTTGGTACAAATAATCTTCATACGTAATCAAATCTTATGTCATTTTAAAAAGAGGGGTCCATGTATTCGTTTTCAAGTTAAATTAGTCTGAATGATAAAAATCAGTCGAAAAATGCATCTTTTCCCGATATGTCACAGTTTGACGTCGGGAAAACAATATTTTATGTTAGCAACGTCATTACCTCCCCTGTAACTGTATCGTATGCCCTTAAGCCTGCTATCTGTAATGAATTTATTCTTATTTTTTACATTCATATCGTCTGACAAGTGAGCAATTTTATTTAACATTTACTAGGCTTCCTCGTTATTAAATTCTATCCATTTATCACCCCATCTCCGCCGTAAAATGCATTATAAATTATGTATTTCAAATGCGGAAATAGATCAAATTACCGTCCTTGTTTAGTAAAACACATTTCAGACTAGGCCGTAAGTATTTCTCTCGTTTGAATTGTTTTATAATTGTGATTTTGATGCCTCAAATAGCTTACTATGTGGTATGGGTTTTTCTCAGTGCTGAAGACCGAATGACCTATAACTGTTAACTTCTATGTCATTTGGTATCTGGTGGAGAGTTGTTTCATTGGCATTCATACCACATTTTATTTTATAGATCCCATTATTTTAACCTTTTTACCTCATTATAAAACTATTGTCACATTATATTGTATGAACTATATCGTGATGTCAATAAACCGGTATGTCAAATACCAAAGATAGCAATAACAGAAGGATCTGGTATGTTATTTTTCATTTATGTTCATTAATTGATTGAGTTTTTTCTTTATTTTTAATTTCTACATCAATTTTATTAATAAATTTGAGAGTAGAGCCTTAAGTCCAAACAAATCGAAATATATTCATTTTGACTATCATTATCGATTTCTTGATTTTGACATTGGCTTTAGGTGGCAATCATTTGATATTCTGTTCTGGGAATTGGGGTGCAGTAGGGTTTTTTAACTCAATATAATGGTCTAGAAAGAACTGAAAATGATAAGCTGTCCAAAGATTGGATGAAGGTGAATACAAAATGCAGGATATAGTTAAAATGTGAAAATAAATTTTTAGATAGCTGTGCTATGCGAAATAAATAAGCCAGCCTAGCATCAGGTGAAAAGGAAAATTTCGTCCCCGATCCCCTCCAGGAAACCAAATGATCAATTATGCAATTATACAATATGTGTCATATTTGAACAAACATTTACCTTTCCAAAACTCCAAGAGGTTTAACGTTTCATGCGAAGCTTTCTCGTATACCTTTTCCGGGGGATGACTTTATAAATTTGATTAACGTGTGTCTCATGCCTTTTGAATATTTAAGCAAATAAAATATGTTTAAACTAAAACTACCCTTTCGTAAGATCTGCTGTTTTTTCAATATAGATACATTAAGATATTTCTATATAAAGTACAGTTATTCTTGAGGTACAAACATGATAAAAGATAATGAAGGTTTGGCAGACTTTGGCCACAATTGTTTTAATTTAATCAATATCAGACATTAATTTGATGTATTTAATTGTCAAATTTGATCTGAAATAGATTTTAAATGTCTGAACGTTTTAAGAAATGTGAGTTGTAATTTAGCTTCCTCAAACTATAGCAGACCACTATTATACATATATACATAATTTTTGAATAACGCCCAAATTTGTTTTATTTTTCCTTAAGAATATGCTTATGCTTTTGTGATAGCCATGCCAATTCTAATTGAATGCGATTTATAACCATCATGTTATATACCAATCATCGTCTGAGACTATTGTAACAACTTTTCGGAATTGTTATTTTCAATGCTCATCAATTTCGTATTTTCAAATTTTGATCCTGGTATCTTTGATGAGTTTAAACTAGGGATGTCAACTCGGTGAAGATTTACTAATCGAGTACTCGTTGGATTTACCGAGCGATACTCGAGTACTCGCTCGGAAAAACATCTACAAAATTGAAACACAAAATTATACCCATTTTACGTATTGTGGGACGTTGTCTTATGGTCGTAAAACCCTCAACATTATAACCTAAGACTAGATAAAAGTCCAAGGAATTTTATACCATAATTAATAGCTCAGTTACCACATGTACTAATTATGTAAACTGGCAATGATCTAATCAATTAATAAATAAACATCTATAAAAAAATGATAACTCAAACAATAGTATTTGGGAATCGTAAAAAAAAACATTTAATGATCAACAAAGGAGTGATGATGAGAAGAGAGGGACGAAAGATACCAGAGGGACAGTCAAACTCATAGATCGAAAACAAACTGACAACGCCATGGCCAAAAATAAAAAGACAAACAGACAAATAATAGTAAAGATGACACAACATAGAAAACCAAAGACTAAGCAACACGAACCCCACCAAAAACTGGGGGTGATCTCAGGTGCTCCGGAAGGGTAAGCAGATCCTGCTCCACATGTGGCACCCGTCGTGTTGCTTATGTTATTACAAATCCGGTAAATAGTCTAATTCGGTAAGTCACATTCGTGAAAAGGGAAGGGTATTGTAGTTACGACATAAGGAACATATCCGATATCATCCGTGAAACGGTTATTCCATAACGGTCAACCAACTCGTGATGGCGTCCGTAAAATTTTCGAAGGGATGATTTCAACTTCACCATTTGGAACTCTTGGCTTAATAGCTTCCTTGTGAGCAGCAATCCTCTATCAAGGAAATCATGATAGGAAACACAAGCCCGGGAATATCGTATCAATTGGGAGATATATACTCCGTATGCAGGCGCTGCTGGAATGTTGCTACATAGAAATGGAAAGTTCACAATTGGGAAGCTGAAATCATCTCTTTTGTCGTAAAGTTTTGTTTTCAACCGACCCTCATTGTCAATTTCTAGATGTAAGTCAAGATATGAGGCAGACTTAACTGTATCTGTAGTATCCTTTATCTCTAGTTCGATGGGATAGATTCGTTCAACATAGTCACCAAATTTTGTATTATTTAGTGAGAGAACATCATCTATATAGCGGAACGTAGAGTTAAAGGATATTGCTAACTTCTTATCTTTCTTCCTAAGAAGTTCCTGTATGAAGTCAACCTCATAATAATAAAGAAACAAGTCGGCAAGAAGAGGGGCACAATTGGTTCCCATTGGAATTCCGAGTCTGTTGAAAAATACGTCCTCCAAACGTAACAAATATGTTGTCAATCAAGAAATCAAGCATCTTGATAATGTCAGTTTCAGAGAATTTTTTGTTTGAGTCAGAGTGATTCTTTACAAAGTAAGATTTATCCCTCCCCAAGACAAGATACTTGTATCTACGTTCGCCATTCTTTTTAATGAAACAAAGTAATACCAACTCTTTCAATTTGTCTTTTAGTTTGGAATGGGGAATACTAGTATAAAGTGTAGAAAAGTCAAATGTTTTAATACTATTGCAAGATGAGAGAGTCTTAGATTGTATGTACTCTAAAAGATCTTTGGAATTTTTTAGTATCCACATCTGATTAACGCCACCTCTAGAATAGAACTTACTGATGCCTTTTACCATTACTGAGGGTCGACACAGGCTGCAACGAATTTGTTCTTGTTTAGAAGTATTATCTTCTCAACTTTTTCTGTGACGAGTCGATTTCTCAACTTTGTTACATAACTAACCGTCCTGCTGATGAAAATATTTGCTCTGACGGTACAGAGGGGGTGGAATGTCTAAGACACGATTAGCTAAAAGTGTAAGCTTTGGAAAGGTGCTCTTGTTCATATTGTACCTATGTTTGGAGGAATTTTAAATGACAATTAAACGCAAGCATTCTTATTTTGATCAATTTTGATTAATATTTAATTTCTCGGGGGGCGCTCTTAATAAAAATATTATTTCTTTAGGAAGGCAACAACATTCTAACAGGAAACCGAATAGTCGAGTATAATTTTGGTATTCGATACTCGGTACTACCGAGCGATGATACTCGAGTACTCGAGTATTCGTTGACATCCCTAGTTTAAATCTTTCTTAAAACAGGTTTCTAGTAATGGGGTTTCGATTACAGAGAAAACAAAATAACCTTGATAATCACATTTAAATTTTTTCTATAAATAAACTTATCATAGTTATCAGGATTAAATTGTGTGCGCCAGTCGTACGTTTCGTCTACAAAATACTCACCATTGACGCTCGAATCAAAAAAGTCAAATAGGCCAAATAAGTACGAAGTCGAGGAGCGTAAAGGACTCAAAATTCCGAAAGGTTTTGACAAATACTACTCAGGTAATCTATTCCTGGTGTTGAAAATCCTTGGAGTATTTCTAAAAAATAAAATGTTTGTTAATAGAATGAAAATTCATGTCAACACAGAAGTGCTGAATACTGGGCTGGTGAATCCTCGTAGATGAAACCTCCATTATCAATGGCATCGATCCAGAGGTTGTAAATTAACTCATCAAAGATACCATGATGACAATTGTGTAAGCCAGACGCGCGTTTCGTCTACAAAATACTCACAAGTGACGCTCGAATCAAAAAAGTTGAATCGTAGATAATGCCCCTTTAAATACTATTTGAGGAACTTCAATACAATTTTTAGTACTATATATGATGTTAACTTTTTTTTATCTTTTTATCTTGAATAAACCTGTTTTAACTATTGTATCACATAGTCAAACGAAAATATTGTATGTCAACATGATACAAAATACTGATAAGAGTAGAAAAAGCTGTGATGCTGATCCAACGAATGACTTCATTGTGTATATATTGATTAAAGCTATATAATACTTGTTTGTAGAAGAGAAGCTATCAATATGGCAGATATTGATGAGAAGAAAAAGGAATACTACACTCGGCTATTGACTTTTTTTACTTGGACCTGCCACAAAGGCACTTCATCTTTACTTTGAAATGAAAATTTTGAAATCCTTAGAACTTTTCATGTTCTTGGACAATCATAGGCATATTTTGTTTCACGAGTTATACCCGACTGTTCCATGCTGTGAGTGCAAGAATAATCATATTGCATCCCAAAAGAAACGAGGTCATCTTAATCGTACTCAGTTTAATCTATTATTCGAAGTCATCAACGGACAGGAAGTACAAGAACATAAACAGAATCGCGGAGAACGGATAACACATCACTGTGTATGTAGTTTTGCAGCCAAGCAATCAGTTACAGAGGACGATATGGATATCACTCTCTTGTTCACTTTGATGAAGACATGCTGCCCACCAGGAACAGTATCCGGTAATCCAAGATGGATTGAAGAAATTAAAGATACACGAAACTATCTTGCTCATTGTCCTAGCCCAGACATTTCGGAGTTTGAATTCGAGCAAAGATTCGATAACACTGAACAATGTGTTTTGAATATAGCCAGTGTAGTGGGTCGTCAAGCCTTGAAAATGATAAAAGCTCAAATAACTTTTTTCAAAACAAGTGATTTATCGAGCATTCGACAGTTCGTTCAAAGCAGCAACACTACTATTCAACAGGTAATACATATGTAGAACAATAATCTTTGGGCTTTTCTGCAAATATTGTCGACTTTTATCAATTTTGTTCATAGATTGATTATTCATACGCCAAAAGATATAGCAGGAATAATCAAGCATATCGTACAGAACAACAGATCAAATCAACCAACAGCACTCACCCCCTCTGAAATAAACAGACATACAAACAATGAGAAACAAACAACACATGGTCCAGACACAACAATTGATGAAGTCCGATAAGATATACTTATGGTTGACACATCTGCTTGGGTGGCCTGTTAGTCCCCGAAGGTATAACTATCCCATAAGCCAGTATTTCGATACTGGCATGAAAATACGAATAAAATCATATTGTAATTATCTGTCATAAAATTTTATAAATCATTGTAAGTTAAAACATATATCTTCGTTATGCAAAGTTTTTATAGTTTTCTTATAAAAGAAATCCTTTATCTTATCAAAATTTTGAGAATTACACTGCTATTGAATTATTGTCTTCCCGTACTCTCATTAGCCGATATTTTTCCGTATGCAGTGATCTTAAATACGAGATCTCTCGCGGACACAGCACAGCGCAATTGCGAGGGAAAAAATTAAATCACAAAAATACTGAACTCCGAGGAAAATTCAAAACGGAAAGTCCCTAATCAAATGGCAAAATCAAAAGCACAAACACATCAAACGTGCTTGACTTGGTACAGGCATTTTCTTAGGTAGAAAATGGTGGATTGAACCTGGTTTTATAACGCTAAACCTCTCACTTGTATGACAGTCGCATCAAATTCCATTATATTGACAACGATGCGTTAATAAAACAAACAGACATAATAGGTAAAAGTGTCAAAATAGGGGTACAGCAGTCAACACTGTGTCACAATCTTAATCACAACAAAAACAAACAAAAATTTAACAAAGAAGCACAAAAAAGCACATATCACATTTAACAACCTCGTTCATTGAAAATCCGTGATGAAAGAATGGAAACAAACATGCACTGTAAGGTAAGTGGTAATATGATTCTAAAAGAACAAATTGCATACACTAAATCATTTAACAACTGTTATGGAAAAATTTAATTAACAAATTGGAATGCATGGAAAACAATTTAAAACTATCAACATATCTCTATCAATTCACTTATTGTTCACTTGCTCCATGATTTTATGTTGATTGTTTATCAATAATACAATCCGGTAAACTTCGGCAACAAACGTTAATTAGCTTTCGATCAACAATCACTGAATGAAATATCATTTGTCGATAATTCGTTACAGATTCGTAATAAATGTAAAAAAAAATCGTGCATAGAGTACTTAGTTTAGTGTGTATATGCATGCATTGGTTCAATGATTTCCATAACGTTCTAAATACAAGTAACTTGTTTCATGTGACTTTACTAGGAATATCAAAAGCACAATAAAAAAGCATCGGTCTTATAAAGTTTGTTTTAAAAAGTAGAAATATTTCATTATAATATGGAATTGCTTAAAAGCTGATTTGAGGCTTTTTTTCAAAATTTGTTTCTTTTTCATAGAATGCCTTTTTTGCATGATGTATTCAACAAATTAACGATACAAGTATATAAGTGGTTACTTCATATCCCGTTATCAAAGTTATTCTAGCAGTGATTACTTTGCAGTGATTTAGGAAAGTATAATGAAATAAAACGTACTCATTGTAGGCATCATGTTATACGATGTTAGAGCTATTACCGAGATTTTATTAAGAATTGTCAGTATAAGTCTTGTTCATAATTCTCTTTCTCAGACTAAAACTATAATCAAAAAGTGGTATTCAGAATAAAAGAGTCTGGCCTATGAACCGGACTTAAAATTTATAACCAGTTATTTGCATAAAGGATCACTAAAATGGCATTTTTAGTTAAACTTAAAAAGAGAAATGAAAGATACCAAAGAGATATTTAAACTCATTATCGAAAGCAAACCGGCAATGCTATGGCATAAAACGAAAAGCAACGAAAAGACAAACTATAGTTCACGAAACATAACATGATATTCTTATGTTGTGCTGTTTCAGCGCTGTCCCAGGTTAGGGGGAGGGTTGAACACTCACAAAGATGTTTAACCCCGTCTAATTCTTTATGTTCCTGTCCCAAGTCAGGAGCCTGTAGTGCAGTGGTTGTCGTTGGTTCATGTCGGTCATATTTGTTTTTCGTAAATTGTTTTGTTATAAATTTGCCCGTTAGTTTTCTCAATTGAATTGTTTCATATTTCTTATGTCAGGGCCTTTTATAGCCGACTATACGGTATGCGTTTTTCTCATTGTTGAAGGCCATACGGTTGCCTATAACTGCTTACATCCATATCATTTAAATTTTGGTGGATAGTTGTCTCATTGGTAATCATACCTCGTCTCCTTTTTTTATATAGAAAACTAAAGAATGAGCAACATGAATCCCACCAAACAGCGGAGGTGATCTCATGCGCCCCGTAAGGGTAATCAGATCGTGCTGCACATGTGGCACCTGTCGTGTTGCTCATTTAAGTACAAGCCCGGTAATAAGTCTAGTTTCGTAGGTCACATTCGAGAAACGGAAAACGGGATTTTGGTTACAGCAATTATAATATAAGCTTTACACAGAAATACACAATCTTATCCCTATGCTTTATATATAATAATCCCACAGATGCTTATGTTTCTTTATACCACTTGCTCAAATCTGGCAAGATTAAATCCAAGATAATCAAATTAGAATTTAGCAACGGTTCCGTTGATCCAACCTTGCCCTATTGGTTTGGAGAAAAAAGATGGCAACTGCCAATTGTAAGTTATGCTGCTAAAACATTTTTCAAATGTTATTTGCACCTCAAAATAAGTAAATATCTGTTTAAGGTTTCCTTTTAAAACGCAAATTAAGCGGTAGTTTTACCGGACTACTTTACTTTACCGTCACTTTAAGAGTTCAAATTATATAATTCTTTTCATTTACCAATACAATTAACATAATTTTGAAAGACTTGAAAACATTGACTATCTTGGATTATTGGGAGTGTTCATCACTATAATATGAAAGAGCAAAGTCCCTGGTTTTAATTGGGAAACCTCAGAAATAGTTCTGATCAAAGAGTTAAACATGAGGTCACAATGATATTATATCAAGAAAGATTCGTGAAAGTTTGTTTGAAATACATTCACCACTTGTTACGTAGGAGATAACCTCATGTGCACTGGAAGGGTAAGCAGATCCCGTTCGACTAGTGATGATGTATATATTAATTCAATCTTTTACAATATCATTCTTTGGTCATGATCATATGTTATATCACGACTTCTTACTAATGTGCTAACATAAGCAGGTTTTGTGATACAAAAGGAAATAATGCAAACATCATTTGTTCAAATATTGAATCAATATATTTTGTATACGTTATTAAACAGGAACAACCGTGACATTATTTTTGTTTAAGCATTAAACAACTTAGAAAAACATTTTTTCATGTATTAACCTTGTATATTGCTTGGCCTTCTACACTTAATGGAAATTGATGTCTTTCTGTAAATAATAAAAATTTCTCAACATACAAAAGCTAAAAATCAGCAGATGGCAGTATTTTTGTCAATTGTAAAAGCTTCAATAGATAGCTATTTCCATGACAATGTACAATGGTTACGAATCATGGCACAAACCTTATCAATTTATGAAACGAAATATAATTATAGGAAAATAGATATTAGTAACACCAAGAAATAAATAAATATTATCAGTTTGAGCATTTCAATGTTTGGTAAAAGTTTGGTAATTGGCCACTCAATTTGCGGTTGATTGGGAATTATCATCTAAACTATAAGCATATGCTGTTCTGAGTCAAAAAAATGAAATATATATGATTGACCTTTGTTATTGGATCTAAATCGTCTATTGCAATTTATAGCTAACGAGAAATAATGCTACTACTCTTCTTGTTAAATAACGTCCGACGTTTTATTTAATTTGATATACGAAAAATAACTCCGATTGAGTACTTTCATCCCAAGAAAAGTTCGACTTAAAAGTAATCAGGGTTTTCTTTCACTTACTTGTTTGTGAACAACTACATATTTATACTGCCACAAAATCAAAGCAACTACGGTAAATATTCCTAAATTTTTAAATGAATACACAAGAAAACCTGAAAGTGTTATAGACGGTAACACACTTAGTTCATGTTTACATCTGACACTTATTTTTTGCGAACGGCTGTGGGATATATACGTACAGAAATGAATGGTAATATATCATACATCAATCAGCTAAAAAAAAAATCAGTTTCCCAGCTTCGTTTGGTAGATTTAATGTGAAGAAAAAATTATTTCCGGCCACCATGATTTGTACATCAGGAGATTATTATTCAATAAGGGCACTATTAGAAAAGAAATGAATAATTAAAAAAATGTGTTGACTAGTTGTTTAGCATGTTCAAAATAGTTAATTAAAAAGTCGCTTTAACCTAATAAACAAACAGAAGTAGAACAAGAGATACTTTTTGTGAAAATGTGAAGTGTATGCCTCTTTTATTCTATTGAGCGGTTTTATTCTCGAGGATGGTGTCCATTTCTTATAGTTTATCTTTGAATATGTCTGTTTGTTAATGTCAAGAGAGAAAAATATATATCTATATTTTGAATAAAGACGAATAAAAACTTTCTTATAGATTCTTTAAAATTTCATGAAGGAACAAACACAAAACTTCGAAACCATAGCAGAAAATACAGGCGCAATGAAAAATGAGATTGTGGATGAACTTAGAAGATATAGAGGTAATTTCAATTGTTCAAGCAAATTCATTTGTTACATTCCATAAATAATATATTTTTAATGATATTTGCATAAGTACAAAATGTCAATTGACCCAGTGTTTGATGTTTTATTATGATCCTTGATCTTATTTTCATTCGTATTATCTATTATTCTCATTCTTATTATCATTATTATAGCCAAACGTACTATGACAACACATATACATGTACTATACAGATGTATTCAATTTTTTCTTTCAAAGGTATAATTCATTGCAAGAAAATACTACACGTCCAGTTTTAGGAAAATTTTTAATAAACCAAAACAAGAAAAAAACTTACAACAAATCCTTTTTCTCTTTTCACTTTATAAAATATAAGTGAAAAGTTTAATTTTGTGTGTGTGTGTGTGTGTGTGTGAATATGTAGTTGTTATAAAATAATTGTTTCTTCATTGTTTTATATTAGGGATGGACATATTAACGTTTGTTTAGAAAACACGTTATTAATTTTCTGTATTATAAAGAGAAAGAAGATATCATAGGGGCAATAAAAAGTCATTAGTCCAAACGAAATAGAACAAAACCCTAAACACAAAACTAAAGATTAAGCAACGTGAGACCCACTAAAATATCAGGGGAACTCAGATACTCAGGTTCTCTTTAGGGCCCTCTGTTCCTTTACACGCAGTCAAAATGTTTCAATAGGGGAGACAGCACAATCGGTAAAATTATAAATTTGATTACTATTCTGGTACCTAAAATTCAAAACTGCGAAAACATGTCGCTAGTGAGAAGAGACACAGATACGTCGTATTGGTCAACCAATTACTTCTCGTCGACCGTAACACTAATGTAGTGATGATTTCAGGCGTCATTACTCTGTTGTCAGCAGCACAACCCTGTAAATGAAGTTTAATATATAGATACTCTAAACCATGAAAGCAGAAAAAAAACTTGAACTGAAATTAAGCGTGAGATTTTTTACATTAACAAAACAAATGAAACTTCCACAAGGTGAGGTATATCAAGGCATACCGTTGAGTTATTTCAAATATCCTTTTAATGCGATATTTATTACTGAATTTTATTATCATCTTATGTCTATTTTGAAGAAGACTATCGTATTCACATGCGGAATATCATATTTGAGGTAAAAACTGTAGTGCAGAGTGACTTGGCATCACCTACAAATTCGACATTCGAAGAAAGACAATGTCTTCAAAGTAAGTATACCCATAAGCTGTAATCTAATTTTGTCCGCATACGAACTCAATTCATACTCGTATTATCACGAAATGGAAATTTTCAATGTGTTGATTTGTCAGAATTGCATAACAACTTTAATAAAACATTAGAATCATACATGGCTGCCATATTGGCAAAAATGTCAGATATACAATTGAATTCTAAGGCATAGACAATAATTTAACAATTTTTACATCTTTTTATAAATCAATACCATATATCCCATCCCTCTTGAAGTAAAAGAATAATGCTATATATGAAGTGTGCCTAAAATAAACACAAAGAAAAAATCCAGAAGATTAGGACAATTTGTTCCCATTGGAACCGTGACTGTCTGTTCACAGGCACCCAACCGTAAGAATATGTTGTGAATAAACAAATCGAGCATCTTGATAATTTTTTTTTCAATTTTTCAGATGATAATATATGTTATGTAGAATGGAAATTGGCAACACCAAGCAACTGGAACATTGATGACATCAAAAAAACCTTAGAAAATGTGGCATCTTTGATAGGACAATGGTTCCGTATAGTGTTTGTCTATAAAGGATCATTGGTAATTTATACCTCAGTTCCAGTGCATAAAGTGAAGGATGACAAAGATTTCCAACTTGCTGTACACTTATTCTTGAAAGATGTCGTTGAGAGGTGTGACCTTGACACAGTAACCAAAACAATCATCATATTAGAACTTGTCGTATCAAATGAAATACTTTCACGGCGTAAATATTTAAAACAACCATAAAACAAATTACTTGAAAATATTGTAATAACATACTAAATGAAAATACCACTTATAAATGATGGTGCTTTCATAGCGCTTTTTTCAGATTAGCCTAAACAGGAACGCGTAGACTGTGCATAAATATAGAGAAGAATTAAGAATGTATCGGACAGTATAAAAAGGTGAAATTATGTCTACATCAATTAAACAACAATCAAACTATACCAAAGAAGAAATGCAACATTGACACTCATATGGGACTAGGCTCATTTAATTTTTATATGAGAATAATACGCGTTGTATTAATGTCATAACAACAAATCTTCTCCGATATATATAGCTTAAGGGAGTTGCAAACTTGATTTAAGTACATATATACATTATTAATAACCTAGTGGTATACTTACATGAACGGTCTACATTTTGCCAGTCGTAGAACTAGAAGTCTAGGAGTTTCCGTACTGAACCAGTTGTTATTAAGAATGTAAGATATCGATTGCAATTTGAATAATCATCATCGGTTCAAATGATTACTGGAAGCGGAATCTTAAGAGTGCATGAAATTCACAAGCTAAACATAATGGAAAATAAAGGTGAATTAGATAAAACACGATATAGACAATGTATCGTACTTTAATAAAGTGAGAAATTGTAGTAATTGCAATAATACAGAATCAAGTGTGAAAAAAAAGACAACGCGGGAAATAACAGATAATTGAAAGTGGCACAAATCACGTTTGGGTTATAAAAGTAGCTCCGAAACTGTGGATGAACTCGTGTGCTCTGGGGAAGTAATCTGTTCCTGCTCCAGTGAATACGATATTCTTTAAATTTTTTGCTTTAATTAATTTCCCCTTTAACTGATACTCAAATATATTTTTTATTCTTTTACTAGAGAACATAGATAAACCAACCGTTTCATGCGACTGTTGTAACAGTAAGAACAGTTCAACAAGAGCAATCCATCACTGCATTGAGTGTCAAGAGAATCTTTGTCACAAATGCACCAGTGTCCTGACTGGATCACTTTCAGAACATAATTTAACACATCCAAAAGTATCACGCAAAGAAACTTTCCAAACCACATGTTTTAAACACCGCGACTGTGCTTTCGATTTCTTTTGTGTTGATCACGATTGTTTATGCTGTTGCTATTGCACGGACCAAGAGCATACATCATGTCAGAAATCAATTCCATTAGAAGTGGCAGCAAAAGATGTAAAACATTCACCAATGCTTGAGGACTTTTCTGATGCTTTATCCAACCTAAAAACCGCATTTGGTAAAGCAATTACAAGTCAGAATGAAAATATCAACAATATTGATGATGATGCTGCAATTATTGTAAAGCAGGTTAAACTGAACAAAGCTGAAATCATTACAAGATTGGATGAACTCCAAAACGAAATTAAAGAGGATATATACGCCATAAGAAAGAAAGAAAAAGCTGAATCCGAATCCAAAAAGAGTAGATTAATACAGATAGCGAGTCGAATACAAAACATGTCTGCTCAATGGTACCAAACCTTCAAACATGGTTCAGAGAATGAAATATTTGTCCTGCTGAATATATGTAAATGGAAATTTATGGAACATGAAGCCAGCCTACGAGATGTCATACCAACACTGAAGAAAAAACTAATCACATTCATGCCACAAAAGGCCGTTCCAAAACCAGTTAGATTGCTAGGATCTATCGAGCTACAATCATCTCAATACAATTTTAATTATAAGCCAACCAATATTCAACAAGTTCAAGTTCCAGTAACAGTTTATAAAATGCCAACGAAGTTTACCTTAGATTATAAGGTAGAAATCAAACAATTTGGCGGTGTGTCTGTCACCGGTTTATGTGTTACAGATGATAACCGCCGTATCCTACTCTGTAATCACCAAAGTACCAAACTACTAGTATACAGTGACATTGGTGATTACCTACAGGATTGTGAGTTATCTGGTGACCTCTGGGATATCGCTGTTATACCAGATGAAGACAAAGCTGTCGTTACCCTACCTAAGGAAAATTCTGTACAATTTATTGACATTAAAACGATGACAGCTGGTTCAAAACATTCTGTACCTGATCATTGTTACAGTGTTACTATTGTCAATCAGAAGATTTCTGTTTGTGGTATATATAGTAGAAACCTACATATCCTTGATAAGCACGGGAACCATATAATTACAGTGAAGATACCAGGTACTGGTTATATACATTATCTACACCCAGGTCCTGATGATAGTGTATACTATACAGACTCTACTTATAATGGTGTAAGTTGTGTTACCCTGAATGGAGAAGAAGTATTCAGATACACTTCACAACATATCATAGAGCCTCGGAATGTGATAACCGACAAGAAAGGTAACCTGTACGTGGCTTGTATAGGTTCAAATGATATTCAACGACTCTCATCAAACGGAGAGTTCATTGACGTCATCCTGGACGTAAAAAACGGTATAAATCATCCGTGTGGAATGACTTTTAGGAATGATTTTCGAAAGTTATTTGTACTGAATGAATGCGAAAACCTATATTCTTTATTAGTTTTTACATGTTCATAAAACAATTCGAAATAAATTGTATCATAACAACAATCGTGTTCACATTTTGTATTGCAAAAATCAAGGATATTTGGTCATAACAAGACAAGCCATCAAGTGAATATTTATAGAACAGTTAATTGACAAGCATATACATAACTCAATAATTTAGCATCATGTTTAAAATCCTCTACGTATCTATTACATTCGTCTCAATAGAAAGATAGATATACGTAAAATTGGCGGAACATACCAAGAGGACATTCAAAACTCATAAATCGAAGAGAACCTGACAACGCGATGACCAAAACAAATGATGAAAAGACAAAATATCCACTTTACACTACATAGACTAGGCAATCACAATTTAGCAACACGAATCGCGTCATAACCGAGGTGGATCTCAGGTGCTCCAGAAAGATTAGCAACTTCTTCTCTACCTATTGCCTCCGTCGTTTTGCTCGTGGTAAGTACAAACTTGTTAATCTTTCTTATTCGGTGATGTCACAATCTAGTAACATAGGAAGATATTTTGGTTACGACAATTGGGACATATCCATGACCATCTGTTATACAGATGTTCTGTAACAGTCAACGAACTCGTGATTCCATTCGTTAATCTTTCAAATAGATGATCTCAACTTAACCACTTGGAAATCTTTGTTCAACAGCTTCCTATTTGTAGCACTTTATATCAAAGAAATTCAAACATTAAATGCAAGCACTGGAATATTGTATCAACTGGGAGATATTTACTCCATATGCATGTCCTTCTTGAATATGGTAACATAGAAATTGAGATGATATCATTCCTCTTGTCGTTAGGTTTTGTTTTCAAAGGATCCACATTGTCAATTTATACCTGAACTACCAGATAGGAGGCAACTTGATTGTTTCTGTGGTGTCCTTAGTTTCATGTTCGATTGAATAAATACGTTCAACACAGTCAAAAAAGTTTGCATTATTTAGGGAGAGGACATTCAATATATACTAGACGTTAAAGGATAATGCTACTTTCTTTTTTATATTTCTTCATGTGAAGCTCTTGTTTGAAGTCTGCCTCGTATGAATAAAGAAATACGTCCTCTAAACGAAACAAATATCTTATCAATACAAAAATCAAGCATTTTGATGATGTCAGTTTTGTTTGAATCGGATTTGGTTTTTGTTTTCAAAATATAATTTGTCCTTTCCTAATACAGGCACTACACTTTTCCGAAATTGACACCCGATAGCCATACGAATATCAAATTTCGAATTTTGCGCGAAGATGGCCCCAAACTTGGTCAACACACAATCATCAGCCGAAGCAAGTACAATGCCTACAGAAGGTCACACGATGGCACCCAAAGCACACACGAAGGCTGCACAAAGATGTAAATTTTTATTCAGATGTTTACCCACAGGACACACGAAAGCCACACGATTGCTACACAGCGTCGTATTTAGAATACGATGCTGTTTTACTAGGTCACGAAGGCGTCACGAGACTTCCCGATGGCATAAAACCTGCGGCTAACTGTGGGAAATATATTATATTTTCAATTTTGAAGTCAAAAATCCTGTCCTGTCATGGCACAGAACCAGCCCTTGATGTAAAGTAGTGACCCAGTTATCTTCTAATTTGCCTCCCCTCCTGGTCCATAGGTTTTAGTGTTCTTGCCTTCTCATGCTATAAATCCAGAAGTACTCCATCACTTGGCAGACCAATCAATATTACGCTCTTCGTGAGGACACATGTGTAATTTCAATATCCAGTAGAGTGTAGGAAGATCTTCGTCTTTTGGTGTAATTTCAGTTGCCTGAAAGGTCGTAACCCGTTCACTTTTTTTTCTATTGTAATTTGTATCTACAACCCCAAAGCCTAAATCGATTCGGAAAGTGTATCCACGTCTTCTTTTTGTAGTTCTAATACTAATGGGATAAGTTTGATGCAGGTTTTCCTTAAAATTCCTATGGAAATCTTTTTTAAACCCACCTGCCACAGATGGCCATGTTTCTCTTGCCATCACTTGGCGTCATCGTTGTCATCTGTCGTCCATCATCGTCGGTTAACTTTTACAAAAGTCTTTGACCCTAACACTACCTGGAAAATTTGAACCAACCTTGGGCACAAAATCCTGGGTGTATGTAGTTAAATGACGGGTCCAATGATCATGTTGGCCAACCGACTTGGCCGCAAAAAGCTGACAGGGCAAAAATGTATAGAATGCAAAGATGTACATATTGTCTATTTTGAACAATATTGTCAGATAATATCTTTTAGTAGTCATTGTCCTAAAAGGGCTATCTTTACCAATTTTGTTTCGCTTTTGCTGATTATCTTCAAAAATATGATAGTTATATGAAACTTTAAAACAGCAAAATGATCTGCAAGACAAGATATACAAATAAGTCAAATGGCAGATATCGTCAGTCAACTCCTTATAAGAGTGATGGTCCTGAAACGACGATTTTTAATCTTTGACCATACAGAGGACGGGTTGGTTGTCGTGGTTATTTTATTTCGTGATATATTTAGCTAAACAACAGATCAAATTAATTCAAAATGTTTTGTTTTTTACTTTTTTAATTGACAATGTTTTTATAATACACATACTCATAAAAATTAATTCAAAACCAATTATGATGCACTTTTATTATTTAATCTTTTTTTTCTGTGTAAGTAAGTGTTCACATAATTGAACGTATACGAACATGCAGATGGTGTAGTTACAAGATTGAATTCTGATTAAATACCATTTTGTGTTATTTGTTTAAATATGATGTGCCTGCAACCAAATAGCAAAAGGAAGCAAAAAGAGGAAAACGGGTTACTGTTTTCAATGTTACTAGTAGATATGCCTTAGAACAAAACAAATTACAAAACGGGAGCGTTGTAAAGGTAATTGCCGTCTTCTCAAGGATTTTGTGACTTCCAGATTTCATCCTAATGGAAAAGAAGGAAAAGAATTACACCCCCAACAGGACACTATGTTGGTAAAGTTCATTAGACAATTGATTTTAACTTCTAATTCAATGAATAAAAAAAGACTTTCAAACAAGTCAAACGTTTGCTTTTAGTTGCTACAATATATGAATGGGTGGTAGACGCCCACCTTTTTTTGGAACAAGTACAAATTAAGACCATTTATCACAATTTATGAAATGATATCACATCAAATAACATCAGAAAAACGATAATCAGTCAAATAATAAACCTTATAAAAACAAGGACATGTCCATCATATTTCAAAGGACCATGATGAAAGATCGAATACAAATTGGAATCGTAGAGAAATTTCATGTTTTTGGACATGAAAAATCTTACTTTATGAAGAACCTCACTGATTCCAAAAACAAATACACCGAAGATGACATAATCCAAATGCTAGACATTTTGATTGACAACATATTTGTTGACCTTGGTAGATTGATATTTCAACTGACCAACACGTTTTTGTACTCGTATGATGCAGAATTCATACAAAACCTTCTCAAAGACAAACAGAAAAAAAACTCTTGCAACGTTCTCTAATTTCAAATTAAGATATATATTGATGATCTCCTGCCAATCAATAACGCACATTTTAGCTAGTTCGTGCACCTCATAATTTGCAATGAACTTGAGATTTAGGAAACTACTTAAACTAGAAGGTCTGCTTCATGTCTTGATATCTTCCTCGATATTGACACTATGGTACGAAATCAATCTAGAATCTATGGCAAACGATTTCAATTTTCCAATTGTCAACTTCATTTTCCTTAGTAGGAACATACTTTCTACCTTATGGGATGACGTTTACCTATCTCAATTGAAACGTTACACTTGTGCATGATCGCACTATGTGGACTCCTTTCGCAAAATATAATCCAATAGAGTTTCCAGAAAGAATAACTGAAATCGACACTCCATCAATTACAGAATCATCTTTACCAATTGGTTGACCGATATGATTTACCTTTGTCTCAACTCACTAGCGACGTTTTTTTTGCAGTCAATTTTTTAGATACCCGAATAGTCGCCTTATCTGTAATTTTACCGATAATTTCCTATTTCCGATTGTAATATTTGGACTGCGTGTGAATTAGTACGGCGGTCGATGCATGTGATTCTTTCGTTTTTTGTTTGTTACCTTGATTGGTCTTTTTGATCGATTTATGAGATTTGTACATCGGTAAACTACTGTTATCTAACTTTATGCCTATCAAGAATAAAGTTGAACCATGACTAAATTGTAAAGTGGGCTTTAAAAAGACAGACGAATTAAACAAAAATGTATATCTATGATAAAAAAAAACAATAACAGCAACCTATTAGTGAATAAAATATGTAACGATTTCCAATATTAATTCTAAAGCAGCCAAGAAATACAGGTTTCGGTCATGCGTTTTTTATTAAAGTTTAGAGAATGGAACCTCCGTTTGAAGACCTACTTATTCGTTCGGAATATAGTAAAGTGCATAATTCAAAGCAACAGTAGTTAACCGATGTTCGAATGTCACACATTTTTAAATAAAGAAGATCCAAACAAAACTGGGATTCGATTCGCATGAACAGCGAAATGAGCGATACAGGGTGTGTTGACAGTGTGGGCGTCATGAAAATCCAAGCACAGTAAAAATATAACAATCGGGAATTGGACACAATCGGTAAATGTACAGATCACACTACTTTCTGGCATATAAAGATCTAACAACTCGAGAAAAAAAAAATTTTTATGAAATGAGGTCATCTTAGGTATCTTATATAGTAATTGTCCGTTGAATATCAGTGAAAACTGCACTGAAAGTTTGTAAAGTTTGTTTAAACGGACGCCTGATTTGAACTTCGGTTAAATGGGGAAAAATACTAATATTTTTAGAATAATAACTATTTTTTTCTGCCTCCTCCAAATACAATATTTTTTCACATACATGCGTAGAGAATTCTAGCAAGTTGAACATTAAACATATATAACTTATATAATCGGGTTGCTTAAGATTCGTTGAAAATAACGAGTCTATTAGGGATTATTTAGAGCATTGGTCGATCCAATTCTTGCTAACACTGCGGAGCAAACTTCAGCCAAAATTGTTATCAAAAATAATATATCCTATATAATGTTGATGTCACTGTTTTTCTGTCGACAATAGTGTAACCCTGGTATGTATCTTACTGAAATATCACAACCATGTAATCCATGCCACTAACATCATTGATACGGTCATCATCTGTAAATTTACTGTTCATAAATATTTAAATCATTTCAAATACTAAGGTTGATAGATTAGAATGTTAGGTTCTCACTGCTCGTAAACTTTTTTATTGATTTTGCTTTCAAACTGGTTTTTTTTTGTTCCAGCATCTGCGTTCTTAATTATAAGCATAGTATTTATTAAGAGCTTTTTTTATCGTTAATGCTTAAATAACAGAACGTTTGGACTTTAAAAGTTAAGAGAAATTAATTATACTCAAAACTACACTATTATCACACATTTTAGTAAACTAATTATACATAGGAGCAAATACAAATAATTTCTAGATACAGAGTAAACGCTGCCCTTCCTGGTGAAATATATGATGTTGCAAAAATGTCCGGCATGCTTAACCCTTTGCAAACAACGTCGAATTCCCTTACAAAATGAAATAACCAACTACGAAACAATTAACCTGTAAAACACACCATTAAATAGCAATCATAACATATATATTTTGTTGATTAACCGGATCGGGTATGTTATTTTTTACATGAAGTTTCCAATTACTGTTTACATGTTGTGCTGTAGTTTTTAAAAGTATTACTTGCTAATAAATTTTTTTTAGAATATCCATTTTTAAATTTAAACTGAAGCCCATTAGTCTGAACTAATCTGAAATACTAGTATATTTATGGTTACTATCGTTTTTGATTCAATGTTTTTAAATATTAGTCCAGTGGTACTGTCTCCATATGAGACAACGTGATAATACCCTTTCTAAATTTTATTTTTATAGGAAAAAGTATTTGTGCTTAGATAAATCATTTACTTTTTTGTCCTGTATAATTACAGTATTTATATTCATATTTAGGTTTATATGAATTAAACAATTAAAACAACACTTTATAATTTCATACGTCCGAAGCTCGTTTCTGTATTTACCGTCACCAGGAACGCTCAAATCTGCATATTTAAAAGCCAAGGATGTATAAAAACCGAAACAGTTGAACATTCCAGCAGCGCCTGCATACGGAGTATATATCTCCCAATTGATACGATATTCCCGGGCTTGTATTTCATATCATGATAGAGGATTGCTGCTCACAAGGAAGCTATTAAAACAAGAGTTCAAAATGGTGAAGTTGAAATCATCCCTTCGTAAATTTTACGGACGCCATCACGAGTTGGTTGACCGTTATGGAATAACCGTTTCACAGATGATATCGGATATGTTCCTTATGTCGTAACTACAATACCCTTCCCTTTTCACGAATGTGACCTACCGAATTAGACTATTTACCGGATTTGTAATAACATAATCAACACGACGGGTGCCACATGTGGAGCAGGATCTGCTTACCCTTCCGGAGCACATGAGATCACCCCCAGTTTTTGGTGGGGTTCGTGTTGCTTAGTTTTTGGTTTTCTATGTTTAGTCATCTGTACTATTGTTTGTCTGTTTGTCGTTTTGTTTTTGGCCATGGCGTTTTCAGTTTGTTTTCGGTCTGTGAGTTTGACTGTCCCTCTGGTATCTTTCGTCCCACTTTTTTGAAGGATTATGTGACCAAAAGGACTTAAAAATAATACCTAAATAGATCTAAGGTCAACTTCACCTGAGTTGTTGAAACTTTAGTTTCTTAGATATTTGCAAACGGACAATTGAAGAAAAAGATTGCAATCAGTTGACTGTTAAGCTAATGGTCCCCTCGGGCAGTAGAAGTCCAAAAGCAGCGGTATCGACCCAGTGCAGTGAATAAATGAAAACTAAATTATGGTGCCCTCTTTATGTGGTAGACAAAACATCACCAATAGTTTATTTTGTTGAAGCAATACCTTAAAGTATCAAATTTACATATTGTCGGCGTGTACAAAGGTCTTCTAGTTAATGAACTTTGAATAGATTAGAAATTATCTATGTCAACAATTTTTATGTTCACTACTTTTGTATTAGACCATTTCGAAAGTTTAAAATCAAAACAGTACTTTGAAATATAACATTTTCATTATTCATTTTTACCTTTACAAACACACTTAATATCATATGCCCATACGATTATTGTATACACACACATTTCAATAGCTTGTGTTATAAAACATCATGGTGAAAGAATTTTGGGGTTTTGAACCATATCAGGAAGTGATCAGATGAAGTAAACTGTTGTCATTGGATACACGTGGATTTAACAAAATTCACATTTTTTCACCTTTTTGGCGATTTCCGAGACGTCTTTACATAATTGCTCCTAAAACGGATTGTATGCTCAAAATTCCAAACACTTAAAATCGTGTATCGCTTAATTTTGCTCACTTTTTGATGTTTACTTTCGAAAATAGGTTATAACTGGATTGAAATAGCTATTCAAAGTTTAAATAGTTTAAAAGTTTCTTTTGTACTAGTCAATATTATGAACAATATCAACAAGTAATTCTTCATGCTTGAAATGATCAGTTTTTGTATGTTATTTGATAGAACAATATTTGAACTTTGGACTTTCCATATTTTACATATCTAAAACAAAGTCAACCGCCCAAGATGAATCTTCTGTACACGCTAAGCATCACCTCTGCGTTTTGGTTAATTTCTTGATGCAAAGTCATTCGTTTTCTGTATAATGTTTTGTTGACTGGTATTTGTTTTCCAGTAACTTTCGTTCGGTAAATGTGATATCTGTTTACCTTTATTTGCGGGTTTGGAATGCTCTATGTTATATTCCCCTTAATTACTAACTCATATCGAAATATCTTCTGGTGCGATTCAGATCTTGACATTTGGAAACGACTCTATTCCTTCATTGAAAACTAAATAGTAATCATCAATATGTATCTTTTTATACAATTTGTTTGACGTGTTTATGAATTATACATAAAATCTTAAATTTTTTAAATAAAACTCTTATAAGGAAAACAAATCAGACAGCACAACCCTACTTGGAATTTATTCTATTAACAATGTATATACACCCGTTAGAAGCTAATGCTTCATATAAGAGATGTTTTCTAAGCTAATCGAAAGCGTATTTGTATATTAATGAAGTTTATATATAACTTTAATTATGGAAATTTCGTTAAAGATATGGCAGATACTGATGAGAAAGAAAAGGAGAACTACCTAAGGTTGCTGACATTTTTACTTGGACCTGCTACGAAAACACTGCATCTTTATTTTGAAATGAAAGTATTGAATTCTCTAGAATTTTACATGTTCTTGGACAAACATAAACATATTTTGTTTCATGAGTTATATCCAACCATACCGTGTTGCGAGTGCATGAATAAGTGTATCGAATCTCCGGGGAAACGAAGCCATCTTAATTTTACGCAGTTTGATTTATTATTCGAAATCGTCAAGGAACAAGAAAATTCAGAACATCAAAAGAAACAAGGAGAACGTATAACACAATACTGCTTATGCAACTTATCATCAAAGCGATAGGTAAAAGAAGATGACATGGATATAACACTTATTTATATTGTAGTAAGAACGTGTTGTCCACCTGGAACCGTTTCCGGTAATCCAAAATGGATAAAAGATATCAAAAATGCAAGAAATGAGCTTGCGCATTGTTCGAATCCAAAAGTCACAGAGACAGAATTCAAAAACATATTCGATCGTTCTGAACAGTGTGTTTTGAATATTGCAAATGTAGTGGGTCGTCAAGTCTTGAAGATGATAAAAGATCAAATATCCTTTTTTAAAAGAAGTGATATATCAACTGTTCAAGAGTTCATCAAAAGCAGCAACGATACGTTCATACAGGTATTTCAGTTTGAATGAAAAACGACAAAAAAAAACAATCAACAGTCCACAAAACACAAAAACATAAAGATTGATCAATGCGAACCTAAAAACCGAAGATGAACTAATTTGGTTCGGAAGAGTAAGCAGGTACTGCTTCGCCAGTAATATCCGTCCAGTTCTTTTTTTTTTTTACATTAAAAAGTTTATTTTATATTCTAGACCACTTTATAATTAAATTGGTCTTCTGAATTGTTTTCAGTTGTGCATTGTATCGATTTAACATAAGGAGAGAATAATTTTCTATTTTACAGTTAAAAACAATGTTATCTTTGATAACTTACTACTGTATATATACATACCGTTCCCAATTTATAATGGCCACGGGTCAATTAATTTCTTGAGAATTATTTAGAGTATTATTACGATTCATTGATATTGTTTGTATTTCTAGTGAGCCAAATAGTTTCACTTTTAATGAACCAGACAAGACAGCTATTTCTAAAAAAGGAATTTGTCGGTTTGAAAGGTGTTTTCAAATCAAGGATTGTCACTGTCGGAAATCTTTTAGCAGTGGCATCTCTCCAGTGGTTGTTAAAACTAATCAAAGATACCAGGCTTTTGTTCGCCAGATGCGCCTTTCGTCTACATAAAATTCATCAATGGCGCTCGAAGAAACAAAGTTGCACTGCCAAATCTCAAATATACGACGTTTAAGAGTATTTTATACTTGTGTGGTTTTGGATTGTAGTAATAACGCCTTGTGTGTGACCTTTTTAGAAAACCATCCTTAACAAATTAGAATATTTATTCACCCTAATTACCATTGTTGTACATTTTTATATGTATTATTTTAAATAGCTATTTTTGTATAGGACAAAGTATTTTTGTCGACATTATTTATTATAAATTGCATTTTGTTTATGTATTGAAGTTAACTGGTAATCTTAACGTTCCAATGTTTATTAAACAGCAAACTTAAAAAGCTGACTTAATTGTATCTATGGTATATTTTATTTCGAGTTCAATAGGATCGTTTCGATCAACATAGTTACTAAACATATATATTCAAATATTCAGTATGATGTACTCAATGGCGACAGGGTTTTGCGGTCTTAGATCTTCCAATACCTGAAAAGTCGTCTGATCTGTAAACATACCAATTCTGTCCTATAACCGATTAAGACATTTTTACTGCGTGTGGATTCGCACCGGCCTCGTTTTTTTAGGGTTCATATTTTTTTGTTTTATCCTTGATTATATTATTAATTTTAAAGTATCAAATAAATAAAACATTTTGGCAAAACGATGGGTTGTCTTCATCCGGTGCAATATTTCATAAGATAGAGAAAACCGTAGATTTTGTGTCATACCGTAGCATTAAAAATATATTTTTTTTGGCAACTGGTGATTGATTTATTGATTTATTGCTGTGGTTTGCATAACGTCCTTTGGCAGATATGACTGTGGATATAAGACTGAAAGTCATTTTGCGCATTTGATTTATGCCTCATGTGGCTATTAAATGTATTTTTCTATATGTCTTTATTTAATTTTAATTGCAACGAGTGTGTAATCTTTTTGAAATGTAAAGTGTGATAGAAGAAAATATTTATGACAACAAATTCATATAACGACTTTATTCAATTTATTGTAGATATTTTGACTTAAAAAATAAATGTTCAAATGTCTATTTTAGTCAATTTTAAGGAAAACGTCTTTCTTAAAATGCCACTTTTATATGTTTTTACAATAATAACAGCGCAAGTGCTATTTATATAAACTGATACTATAGTATATTTGGATTCTCTCAAGTGATTGACATGAGAAAAGGTCATGAAACAAATCAGTTTAATTGTAAATATTATGTTTTGCCACGGTTCTTAGGAAGAAAGAAAAAAGTTACCAGTATCCTCTCTAACTTTACTTTCCGCTATATAGATGATTTTCTCTCACTAAATAATTCAAAATTTGGTGACTATGTTGAACGCATCTATCTCATCGAACTTGAGATAAAGGATACAACAGATACAGTTAAGTCTGCCTCATATATTGACTTACATCTAGAAATTGACAATGATGATCAGTTGAAAACAAAACTTTACGACAAAAGAGATGATTTCAGCTCCCAATTGTGAACTTTCCATTTCTATTTAGCAACATTCCAGCATCGCCTGCACTCCGAGTTGATACGATATCCCAAGGCTTGTATTCCCTATCATGATTTCTTTGATAGAGGGTTGCTGCTCACAAGGATGCTATCAAACCAAGAGTTCCAAGTGGTGAAGTTGAAATCATCACTTCGTAAATTTTATCATGAGTTGGTTGACCGTTATGGAATATCCGTTTCACAGATGATAGCAGATATGTTCCAAATGTCTTAACTACAATCTCGTCCCCTTTCCCGAATGTGACCTACGGAATTAGACTTATTACCGGATTTGTACTAACAATAGCAACACGACGGGTGCCACATGTGAAGCAGGATCTGCTTACCCTCCGGAGCACCTGAGATCACCCCAGTGTTTAGTGTGGTTCGTGTTGCTCAGTCTTTAGTTTTCTATGTTGTGTTTTGTGTACTATTGTTTGTCTGTTGGTCTTTTTCTTTTTTAGTCCTGATGTTGTCAATAGAAATAAGAAGATGTGGTATGAGTGACAATGAGACAACTCTCTATCCAAGTCACAATGTGTAAAAAGGAAACAATTGTAGGTCAAAGTACGGCCTTCAACACGGAGCCTTAGCTAGGTCACATTACGGAGCTTTAGGTCAAAGTACGGCCTTCAACCTGGAGCCTTGGCTCAAACCGAACAGCAAGCTACAAAGGGCTCCAACATGACTAGTGTAAAACAATATAAACAGGAAAACCAACGGGCTAATCTATATAAAAAACGAGAAACGAGAAACAGTTCATTTTTTCCCCTTGAGTTTGAATGTCCCTTTGGTATCTTTCGCCTCTCTTTTTATTACCGTCTCAGTTCATCATAGTGAAAAATCTACTTTATCAAAGTATCGGACTTAACAGAGATCATGATAATGTATTCGTGCTAAACGATGCAACATACTTTAAATGAATTTTACTTCACTTTACAAGAAACAAATATGCTACATGTATGTCTTCTGTTTCCGTGCCTAGGAGCCCTTGATATTATTAGCTAAACAAATCATCGGACTGGTACGAACATGAAAATTGAAAAATGTTTTGACCAGTTCATTCTTTTATTTACATTTTTGTTTTGCCTAGCAAACTTATAAATTTTCTTTTCTTGTAGATTCTTGAAAATATCACGAAGGATCAAACACAAAATTTAACAGAAAATACCGACACAATGAAAAGTGAAATAATAGATCAACTTAAAAAACACAAAGGTAATTTTAAAAACAAGAAAGAAAGTCTGTATACAAGTCAATCAGGCAACATCCAAATGACAAATAACCGTTAAGACATCCTGCAGTTAAACATAATGTCTACAGAAATGAAAGAAGACTAGTCAATATGTCAACCTTTAAATCACAACATGTCTAAACAGAGGCTACCATAAATCAGCCATCAACATAAAATTCCACACCACGAACTACTGACAAAGTTCCTGAGTTGGCATAAACACATTTCACAACCGTAAAGAGTCTGATTTGACTGGTATAATTTTTATGTCTACTGTCATTAAATAAACTTTTCTGTCCTCCGTATTTTATAACGATAATAATTTTAAAAAATGAACGAATTATTCGAATGTGTTGTGAATTATCAGCTTGGTATCTTTGATGAATTTTAATAATTTGTCAAAATAAAAAAAAATAAAAAATGAATGCGGATACATATATAATAAATTGGTGATAATTTTAAATAACTTTTATCAAAAATATAGGGATTTATAGGGAGCGAGAAGAGGTGTGTCGACAAACTAAGGCCGACACGATATACCAAGTTAAAACTTAAGGGAAAATTGGTTAAATCAATTTTTCTGATAATAAAGGCAAATTGTTTAAAACAATGTTTAGGATAATAAGGGCAAATTTGTAGACATATGGATGCGGAATGCATTGTAAAAAAAAAGATAATGTTGGATTTCTGATTTTCGACTTCTTTGGTAAAGAACACTGCTATGGTTTAGCTTTAGATAACTCGTAAGTGAATGCATCTGTTTATTAAACTCAAATCAAATACTAAGTCAGACATGAACATTTTTTTTAAATCGTTTCACCAGGAGGTGGTATTTAAAGCTACCATTCAAATATTCTTATAATTATCTAAAAAATATTTTTTGTCTTGAAGAAGAATTTTGTGTAGACATAAGGAATATCATATTTGAGATCAAGACGGTAGTAAAGGGTGAACTAGCATCGGCTGCAACGATGTCGTCTAAAATACAATCACCTCAAGGTAAGTTTAATCATGTACAGGTAACTTAAGTCCAAATTCTGGAAAAATTATTACTTCTAATATTAATTTTTTGTTCTTTCTTTAAGGTTAATGAAAGCTGAATTCAGAAATTATTGCAAGCATTTATTCTTGCGATTTTGACGTGACCAACCAAATTCGAAATGAATTATTGCGATTTCATAAAAAAAAAAAACTGCAAACATATGTATGTATCATATTTTAGAATGCGAGTTGATATTATTGAGATAATCATCCACTCGCATTATTATCATTGATAAAACCTAAATAATTTCTGAATTTACAGTATATACGGCAGTACGTCACATTAGACCCAACTGTCCAGATTACTAGATGTAGAGCTAATAATCGTTTTGTTTATTTCACCACCTTAGATCGTAATTAAATGACATTTGATTCCATTTTCCACTTTTAACTTTTTAACCCGTTACTTCTTTCCACAATTACTGTGACTTGATTATAGGTGTTGATGTTTACCTTTAACTATTATTCGACTAGATTGTAAAATTGACAACACAATTGGGACATTTAAATTGACCAGTTGCCAGATTTAAATCTCACTGAACCAGTAAGTATCTACCTTGATGGATTTACCTATGAAAGGTCAATGAAGTGACTTCACCTGTTCAGTGGTTATATTTTGTTCAAACTTTAAACTGACTATTGTTTATTTATAGATGAAAACAGCAAATTTTCAGGAAAATATCATTTGATATTTTAAAAAAGATCCAGGATAATTAATCACCCAGTTCATTTATAAGATTTTAGATTGGGTCAACTAAATTTATACAATGTATTTGGTTTACACTTTGATTTAGAAGAAATACCGACATAGCTTGATAATACAATTAATTATCTAATTACTACCACACTTTCATATGAATAAGTATTGTAATTTTCATAGTTGTTAATACATGTTATATCAGTATTACAAACCTAATCTTGAATCAATCCTGTTTTTTGGAAATTTATAGAAATTTAAATGTGACGTCACATTCTGCGTCGATTTCTTCGGCTAACATATAATACGTTGTTCAGCTGTGCCTTTTTAATGCGCTGATTTAGGTTGTTTTATATATTCGTTTTTATTCTGTAGTTAGTCACCACATCGGTGTTAACATGTATATCTATTATATAGTCATTTTTATAAATTTGCTGTTTACAAAAGTATGAATTATTCTAAATACTAAGGATTTTCTTATCCCAGGCATATAACCTTAGCCGTATTTGGCACAACTTTTTGGAAATTTTGGTCCTCAATGCTCTTCAACTTTGTACTTGTTTTGGCTTTCGAACTTTTTTTTGTTCTGAGTGTCACTGATGGGTCTTATGTAGACGAAACGCGCGTCTGGCGTATTTAATTATAAGCCTTGTACATTTCGATAGCTATTATTTGTTGCCTTTATCTATTCCAATAACAATAATAATGATAACAACAATAATAATGTAAAGCTGTTATTAGGAAATGAAATTAAATAGTACATGATCAATTAAGAAATTTATTAATCTGACCCATTTGAAATTATAAGAACAGTGCTCATTTCAGTAAATAACATAGCATGCCTACAGTTTAAATTAGCATACACTGTATATGGTATGAAAAAAGCTTGAGTATGGCCACAATATGCAAATGATTCCATGTTCAAGTTTTTGCTAAAAACTGCTGATTTGTTTTTTTAATTTCATTTCCTAATGTTTTTCTTTAAAGAATCCAAAAATAAGTAAAGGAAATATACATTGAAATTACAGTCATTTTTTCAATGAAATGAATGTATCCGTAAATGGCCATACAATTGCCAAAGAAACAATTTTACATTTAGAAGATATACGAGAGATTTTTACTTTATGTCATTTTCAAATTTAAGGAGTAAGCAAGCCAGAACAAGAATATATAATTTTTTTTTTTCTAGAAGGGTATTTAATTGCATGTCATATAATGCACTACGTTTCCTCTTAATTTTTTCATAGCCAAATACTATGAGTGCTTGGATTTCTTTTATATCGTTGAAAAGTCCTCTTTCATCTCTTTGACTTTTTCAAATAGGAGATAACTCAAAATATTTTTTTTAGTTCTTGTGTAAATCTTAGTTATTTTTTAATTTCCATAATTTTCCAGGATTAATAAAAACCAGAACAAATGTGTACATTCTTTCATTTAAACATTTGTTTAATACTTATTGACATGAGCCTTGTACAAAGTGTTTATGCATAGTGAAATATAAAAAATAATAGTTATGAATAAACTGTTTATTTATTTATTTATTGACACAGATTTTTTATATTCCATCCAGTATTCCAGTTTCATTATTTGAAGTAATTTTGAAATATTTTCCTAAATCTATTAATTTTTTGGAATATTTTCTTACATTTTTCACTATATCACTAGATTTTTTTTCTTTATCCAAAGTATTCACTTTAATTTCCCATGATATATATCCCAATTAAACAGGTGCAGAGTCTTTATATTAGATCCAGAATTTTATTTTTGATTATTTCCAATATCACATTACAATTTTTTGGGATATTTTATTCATATTTTCCCCTAAATCACTTGATTTTACTATATCCACATTATTCAGTTTTTATTGTATTTTCCATGATATATATCCGAATTAAACAATATCAGATCCAGAGTTTTATAAAGATTATTTCCAATGTCACATTCAAATTTGTTATCCTCATGTTATGAATTTTTTGGGAATATTTTATTATTCACTTTATCACTAGATTTGACTATATCCACTGTTTTCACATTTTATTTCATTTCCATGATATATATCCAAAATTAAACAGGTGAATCATCTTCATATTAAATCCAGAATTTAATAATGATTATTTTTAAAATCACATTTAACATTTAAAGCCACAGAAACATGTTGGTTGAACTTATTTCTCCTACTTGCATTCCAGTTTTGATTTTTTTTTTACATTTTAGATTAACTAAATACCATCTTTTAAAAAGTGAATTCCCTTTAGTGAACACAGTAATTTTATGCACAAAAATCCTAATAGATTTCAAAGAAAAATACTGCAAGCTATACTCCAAAATTAGTTTGGCTTTTACATGTACATCATCATGTAAAACCCATACAAAACATTTTGAATGAATTATTTACTCCTTGATACATTTATGATAATCCAGTCAAAGTCACATTTTAAGAAGCAAAATTAAATGGCATCTAAGAAGTGAATTCAAATAAAATAAATCCCAATTTTTTATGCACATTAATTCAAATAGATTTCAAACACTGCGAATGATAATCCTAAATGAAAGATTTGAAGGGATATATGAAGAGATGCGAACTGTTCATCTGATAACTGAAACTGAAAACACCTGAATAGCTATTTCTTGTTTCACTGACAACTGGACAATACTATGTATAAGGGTTAACAATTTAAAGATTCGTTTATTATTTAAAAACAGTTTTAATTGTCACACATATTTTCATGCTGTAAAGAAAATCTTTGACTGATTTAAATTTTGGGTCAAAATTCGATTTATCATCCATATTGGAGACTTAAAACAATGAAAATTAATAATATTGTCTTCCCTATCAATTTTATAATAGAATAACCCAAGCTGAAGATAAAAATCCAGGAAAAATGCATGCTGTAAGGTTGGGTTAGGTGAATAAAAAACTGTACAGGTAGCATCAAGGTAGACTCAACTCTAACAATACCAACTGGTCAATTTAAATGTCCCAATTGTATTGTCAATTTTAAGATCTGGTTGAACAGTAGGTAAAGGTAAACAGCAACACCTATAGTCAAGTCACAGTAATTTGTTTGTAATCATCGATAAAGATTGCGTGTTATCTGTAATGATTGAAATACATCTGTTTACATTGATTTTCGTTGCTTCATACAAGTGTTGTTGTGTGGAACTCGCAGAAACGTTATACATGTAAGTTTTCATTCTTTTAACAATTTGATTTGATTTGGCTAGAAAAGCATTTTTGAGAAAACAAAACGAAAAAAAAACCAAAATAATAATGTCCAAATACAGCTTTGTAACATGTCGGCAAATTGTATACGAAGTACAAACTTACGTTGCATATTTTCTAACATTTTGTTCGATTAAATTTTCGATTAAGAGTTTATCATATTCTATGCATGTGAGCATATATGTAAAGCTCAAAGTGCATGCACAAAGTTCTAAAGTATATGGTATATGAAAAAAGCAATATAACTTTAACTTTTTAAGCATAATATAATATTATTACTAACTGGTTAAAAAAATGTTTTCCTTTAATTTACTAGCACTGGGTCCATACATACATCGAATATATAATATAATAGTATTACTTACTGGTTATTGATAATGCTTTCTTTCTTATTTACTAGCAGTGGGTCCATACATCGGATAGGGGACTGTTAGTCTTCGAGGGTTTCATGAGCTCAGTAGTCAGAGCTTCGGTATTGACATGATTTATAACATGCATTTCAAAAATTCACATGTTGATAAATTAAGTACCTAGTAACAAACTAAGGATCCAACTCCCTCATGCAATGTTGACCTAAGGTAAATTTGCTATTTTTTATAGGTCCCTTTTGGTCATATTGTTCCTAGCCTTTCTACGTATATTTTATATCATTGGTTTAGGTTTGAGCATTCCTGTTGAAGGCAAATCCAGAAATCACTTCGGACACACAAAATTTATAAAGTGTTATTTTCATGTGTTGTTAACCGATGGGTTTTGTTAAGGTTCAGCATAACACTTGGGTAAAATTATTCATCCTAACACAACAAAATTGACTCTATTTGACAGAACTCACCTGTACTTCGTTTTAAAACCTCTTAGAACCTAGTCATACAGGGGTTAATGTAATTTGTGTTTCATGAAACCTAAAAGATTCGCTGGATTTTGATGGGCAGTTTTTTTTTCTTCATTTCTATCCTTTGCCTATCTAGACAACTTGTCACACAAATAAAAAAAATACATAAAAAAAAACTGCAAAGTGCAGCAACCGATAGGATAGCCACTAACTTAAACAAGGAAATAAAAATAGACACAATGGTTGGAAAGCAGGGGCGATTACAGGAAGTAAGCTAAGGTAGCTATGACTATTAGTTTGTACTGTCGCTCAAAACAAAAACATCAGAAACAACACTCCTGACTGGTGTCATCAAATTTTTCATGGCAGTATTTGTGAGACCCAGTAAATATCTAAAATCGTCAGACAGTCGGAAGGAAGAAAATTTATATTTTGCTCAGAAATCATAACAAAATTCCGGCTATATTTGGTGGCCTCAAAGTGACTCTCACATCAGATGGTCTACTGTGTTAAACAATTATAAAATGCCCTTGAGATACATTACCATTGAATTTAGACATTACATAGTACTCAAGATACACAATGGTGTCATTAGCTGTAATTGAATATCCTACAGTAATGTGCTTCAATTAAGTGTTCGACGGGGTATATCTAACTGGACAATGCAAAATGATACTTTTGATAGTAGGTTGAAATGGTGACAATATGAAATCAAAAAGGGATATTTTGTGGCTTAAACTTTTACTTTAACAATCCCAATGCCGATCTTAAGCCTAAATAAAATGAAATAAACATGAAAAGAATAATCATAAAGGCTAAAAATAAGGTGTAGGTACTTTCCAATGTGTTAGCCAGCATGACGTAAAAGCGACGAATCAAAGAATTCAACTTTATAAATAACTAATATATATAGGACAATGATGTTGATCAAAATTACACTATATTACCAATAATTAACCAGTTCCGGGTTGACGAGTTCAAATAAAAAGATTTTGAAAGCAGAGAAAACTGTGCACCTTATAATCAGCATGACTTTATCAGATGACAATACGAATACTAAAAATCCAGACTATAAAAAAGACGTAGGTACTTTAACTCAGTGACGGACACGCGATATCGCGGGTGTGTTATAGTATTTAATTAAGAAAATGAAATATTACAACTATTATAACGATTAGACATAATCGTACTGAACAGTTACTAACAAAACAAGCTTGAATAATTGGCTTTATTACTAAAAGTTAAAAATTGAAAAAAAGTTTTATTTTCAGTCGATGATGTTTGTTATGTCGAATGGAAATTAGCAACACCAAGCAATTGGAACGTTGACTACATCACGAAAACATTGGAAAATGTTTCGTCACTGGTAGGACAGTGGTTCCGTATAGTGTTTGTCTATAAAGGATCATTGGTAATACAAACGTCAGCTTCAGAACGGATCATGCAAAATGACAAAGATTTCTGTCTTGCTGTTAAATTATTCTTCAAAGATGTGGTTGAAAAATGCCAGCTTGACACAAAGACCAACACAGTAATTAAAGTGGAACTTGTTGTAACCAATGAGATCTTCAGCCGGCGTAAGTATTATTCTTTGTAATAACATTAAATGCCTACGTTTATCATATTTTTAGTACATTCTAAATATAAAAAGAACTTTAGAAAAGTGCATCTTTTAGTCGAAATAAAAATAAAATAAAACGAGAATGGATATGTAAACATTACCTCAAAAATCCAACGACATCAAAATCCTAGTATGCCGATCATTGGAATCAATTTTAGTAAATGCATCACTTGGCTACCACGACGTCAATAAACGGGACTTCTGACCTAGTCATTCAAATGACCCACGTTGACGCCTCGTCGTCTATGGCGTAACGCTCGCTACATTGAGCGCCAAATTTGATCTATTCTAGTTTCTCTGTCCCTGGATTAAAACATCTTTATATGAATATATGTAGGATTCTCCAAAGATAGTACCCTACATCCCGTGAAAAATATGACAGATTTCCAAATTTCAATAAAACTTTTATCATGTTTATGAATAATAAAAACAAACGTTGCTCTAATGTTACACTTTATGCCTGAATTTTCCTAAATATTGCCCGATTCGTACTAAGACCGGGGATAAATTCTTAATATACGGACATGAACGTAGTTAACTTATAATAGCTAATTTTTCGGCCTTACTTATAATAGCTCATTTTTCGGCCTTTTGGTGTAAAAAGTGAAGCGATATATATATATTAAATTGCTATTATGAACAAAAATTAAAAAAACATCGAGAAAATAGTCAAATTTTAAGCATTATCATCAGAATTACACAAATGTTGAATATTATCTGCCAAAGAAAGGTTTCAATGACACGTTAGCATTAAATAATTGACGAAAAAAGGCGTGATTATCCGTAGTCAGAACGTTGGTACTGGCATGATTTATAACAAACCTTTCTAAAATCGTCCGTTTATAAATTTTGAAATTATAAAGAAACTAAGGTTTCAACTCCCTCAGGCAAAGATGACCTTAGATGAATTTGGATGATTTTTTAAGGTACTTTTTGGTCATATAGCTCTGCAACTGTTTCGGTTCTTATACATCCTCGGCTTTCAAATATTCTTTTTTGAGCATTCCTGGTGAAGATAAATTCAGAAAAGCGCCTCGAACGCATTAAATTAATAACGTGTTGTTTTCATTTTTTACAGCACTGGGTCGATACCTCTGCTGGTGGACTATCTGTCCCCGAGGGTATCATCAGCACAGTAGTCAGTACTTTGGTACTGACATGATTTATAACAAACCTTTCTGAAATTGTCCGTTTATAAATTTTGAAATTATATAGAGAATTTGGCTAATTTTTAGGTACTTTTTGGTCATATAGCTCTGCAACAGTTTCGGTTCTTATACATCCTCGGCTTTTGGCATTCCTAATGAAGGTAAATCCAGAAAAGCGCATCCTACGCATTAAATTAATAACGTGTTGTTTTAATTTTTTGACAGAATTCAATTATTTCTATCAACATTCAACCAATTAATCCGATCTACGAAAAATTGAAATGAAAATGTATGAAGCCTTTGAAGAATTTAGGATTTCTAGATTGATGAGGTGTATCTCTGGTTGATTTTTTTTGGTCAAATACGACGAAGACAATCTATGCATTGGGTTTATAATAACCTTAGTGTTTCGAGTGATTACTACATTTTATAAACGGTATGTTTACAATAAATGAACGTACCAATGATATGTCATGCACGTTAATGTTCTGACTACTGTACGTGTTGGTGTAACATTACGAGGACGAAAAGTCCACCAGCAGTGGCATCGACACAGTTGTTGTAAAACTCACCAGAGATACCAGGCTTACAATTTTGTACGCCAGACGCGCGTTTCGTCTACAAAAGACTCATCAGTGCCGCTTGAATCAAAACAGTTGGAATGATGTACAAAGGTGAAGAGATTATTGCCAATATGTATTTCATAAACATTCTTTCATTAATTCTAGAGATAAAAGATAAATCAACAATTCCATGAGACCTTTGTACCAGTAACAATATTTCAACAGAAGCTATCCTTTTCTGCAGTGAGTGTCAGGAAAATCTCTGCCAGCAATGTATCAGTGCTCATAGCTTGAATGAGTCTTTTTCCGGTCATTCTTTAAAAGCTTCACGATTATCAGACGGAGACACTTTCCAAACTACTTGTTCCATACACCTCGACTGGGCTTTCGATTTTTTTTGTGTCGATCACGATTGTTTAATCTGTCGTTATTGCAAAGCCGAGGAACATGTCTCAAATCTATTCCATTAGAAGATGCAGCAAAAGACGTGATACAGTCAACTATGTTTCAAGACCTTTCTGATGCTTTATCTAACATTAAAACGACACTAGGTAAAGCAATTACATGTCAGAATGAAAATATCAAACATATTGATGATGATGTAGAGATTGTAAACAAGCAGGTAAAAATCAATAAAGCTGGAATCATTAAACGATTGGACGAACTCCAAAACAAAATTAGAGAAGATGTATATGCCATAAGAACAAAAGAAAAAGCGGAATCAGAATCAAAGAAAAGCAAATTATTACAAATAGCAAGTCAAATACAAAACATGTCTGTGCAATGGTACCGAAACTCCAAGCATGGTTCAGATAAGCAAATATTTGTCTGGATGAATATATGCAAATGGAAATTTATGGACCATGAATCAAACCTACAATACATCATACCAACACTAGAGAAGAGACGAATTATATGCCGACCACCAGCAGGTGGGCAGATTCCGGTTAGGTCTATAGGATCAATTGAGATACAATCTTCACAATACCAGCTAGATTATAAGCCACAAAACGTTCTACAAGTTCAAGTTCCATTATTAGTTTCCCAAATGCCTACGAAGTTTACTTTAGGCCGTAAAATAGACATCGAAGGTTCAGACAATGTATGGAGTATTGGTATAACAGATGATAACCGTCTCCTATTTTGTAAAAACAACAGTACCTTCTTACTGGTTTACAATGAATGTGGTGATTACTTACAGCGTTGTAAGTTGTTTGGTCAACCGAGATATATGGCTGTAATACCTGGTGAACACAAAGCTGTCGTTACTATACCATATCATAAATTCTATACAATTCATCGATATTAAAACAATGACCCCTGGTTCTACACATTCTATACCAGATCATTGTTATAGTATCACTATTGTCAGTCAGAAGATTTGTCTTTGTGGTGTAGATAGTAGGTGCCTTTATATTCTTGATAAGCACGGGAACCATATAACCACAGTGAAGATACCAGGAACTGGTTATATACATTATCTACATCCCGGTCCTGATGATAGTGTCTACTATATAGATTTCACTTATAATGCTATAGGTTGTGTAACCTTGGAAGGAGAGGAACGATTAAGGTACACTTCAGAGCATCTCATAGAACCTCGGGATGTGATAACTGAAAAGAAAGGTAACCTGTACGTGGCCTGTAAAGGTTCAAATAATATCCAAAGACTGACATCAAATGGAAAATTCCTTGGTGTCATCCTGGACGAAGGTAATGATATTAATCATCCGTATGGAATGGCTTTCAGAAATGATTATCGAAAGCTTTTTGTACTCAATGAATTAGAAAACATATATTCAGTACTTGTATTTTCATGTTCCTAAAGACAATATGAAAACTACATTAAAAAATTAACATTCTTTTTATAAAAATCATGAAATAAATTCTAATTGTACAGCCTTCTTCTTTCACATATTGTTTTGCAGTGATTTTGAATACTTAGTATGTGACAGCGATGATATTCCATTAGTTTCTGGTGCCAAATTATAATATATCTTATATCTATTTATCTCATGTAATGCATTATTCAGACATTTTCTCTATTTTCATTCATTGCAGTCATTTTAATATAAAAAGGCTTTGACTATGAGTATGTGCTTATTACACGATTTTACATATGTATTTAAGAATCTGTTTGTCATTGTCTATTGTGAATTGTCTAATTACTCTTTAAAGGGGCATTAGCTACGATTTAGACAAAATTTAAAACGAATCTTTTTTTCAGTTTTAATAAAATCGAAATTTTAAATAATATTCCGTTATAAGCAGTCAGTTTGGCCCAAATTTGTCAAAATAGGATAAAAAATATTGCCGATGTATTATTGACTTGCAAGTCAATAATTTAACCTCATTGAATCCATATTCATGTGACCTTTAATATAACCAACCGCTTAGTTAGAGATGGGTTACGCATGTACTAGACGTGTTCAGCTATTAAAAGGAAAAGAATGTCAACATCGAAAGTGAAACAAGGGTGTACAATATGGTTGACTGATTCGATTCACAAAAAACCTTCCTTATACAGGTAAAAACGATCATTAATTTATTTTTTAAACGTATATGAGCCAAACAGATCTAGAGAAACTCAATTGCATGTGCTCTCTATCTATTTATATTTATGTTTATATCAGGTTATATGACCGTCGGCAGTCTTCGGAGGTAATCGCGATAGTTAATTAGATGGCGTCTAGGCAAAATTACACATGAAATGTTGGTATATATTATAGAGTCCATGCATTGTTAACTTTTATTATTCTATCATGTTTATTTTAGAATTTTTGTCATTTGGATATACGTTTAGGTATGTTATTAATCAAATATGAGAATTCGAGTCAAATCGGTGAACATGAATTTGACAGCTTATGCCCCTCTAACATTGAATTCATTATCTAAATACTTATATGTGCTTTTTATTTTGTTCGTTTCTGGTTAATTATGTGATAGTACATGCAGAGCCCTTGAATGGTGTATACTTTCCCATACAAGTATGGTGTAATGGTGTGTGGTGTAAGGTTCATAGTGATAGTGTGTGGTGCTCAAGAAAGGTTAATAGTTTTTTTAATTTAAGTTCGCTTTATAAAAGATATATCAAAATTTGCAATTCTCTCAAACATGTTACATTGTGAGTATTCTTGAATGATGCGAATCTTACAATTTAAATTGGAAAGCGGTAATGAACATTTTTGATAGTGTATGGTGCAATGGTGTATGGTTTAATGTTGTATCGTGCATGAGGTATTGGGGTAAGGTGTAAGTGAAAAGTTTACACCATTGAAGAACTGTAGTAGGTCATTCAAATAAGATCTGAAGCTATTTAGTTAGAAATCCGACAAACTGATGTTCTGACGTCGTATTTATAAATACGGAAACCGATAGTGAACAAAGTTTTTAACTGGACTTGGACGTATATTTAAATGTATGATTGGTATTATTTTACACAGTTAATGTTGATATATTTGAATTAAAGTTAATATAATATTTGGAATCACAATTGGTGCTTTTAAACTATGACTCAGTTATTCCCAAGAACATTTTTCATAGCAGGGTTGTCAAATATCCTTTAATATAGATGCATATGACCAAAAAAACCATCATATGGACATAATTATATTATTAGAACATATTATAGGTGCATGCACCTTGCACAATCTATGTAATTTTCTTGACAAGCATGGTTATACACATACGCATCATTTTGTAACTTGAATATCTGAGTGTATTTTTCTTTTATAGATTTCTTAAATGTTCATGGATAAGATATATAGAATATTGTAAACAATGCACTATGTTTTTTTTATCTCAAAAGTAGATTTGATGTCCGGAAAATTGATAGCCATTATGAATGCAATCTTAACACAAGGTACCGGCCATAGAGTACTCGCAGTTACTACAAGCTAGTTCAAAGCCAATTCCAACTGATACATAAACCGTGTTCTCCAGACTAAAATATAAATCAGTACACATCCAATGGATTCAGTGTAAAGATGTCATAAGCAGTCTGAGAAATGCATGATCTTGTACAATGCCAAAATATTTGTGTCCATAATGTAGGACCATAAGCTTCCTTACCGGTATAGCCTAACCTATTTAATTATGTTTTCATTTATCAAAAATAAAATCAATGTTAGTATTGATGGCGACAATGTTCATAGATTCATAAATTAAGCCCCTGTTTGCACAAGAGATGTTTAATACTTGCTAAGTATGAATCATTCAAACATTTCAAATTTTATTGACTCATACTGATGTTTTACGCCAGTCTCTTCACCAGGAGCATACATTTTTCAATATACATTAACTTGCATCCAAGTAATTCCTATTTGCAATTAACGAAAAATTCAATATTTCAGACTGGATGTTAATTTCCTTACTCTCTAGTATTTTAGGTTTCAGTAAAAGAAAGTTGTGTTGATAGTCATGCTGATTCAATTTTCTATGACAAAGAGAGATCAAGGCAACATTTCAGACTGCTCATAATTAGATAGTATAGAATGACAAAGTACTAATCATGAACGTTTTATTATATTCAAAATGAAAACAAAAAATGAACAATATGCTCAATTATCAAAATTTAATTCTATACTACCATTTGCCTGTATGAACTTTTTTACAGGTCTTATATAAAAGCTTAATCTATCACACTTTAAGCAACAACAAAAAACGTTTCATTTGCCAAAAACATATTGGTAAAAAAATGTCATTTAAGGGCAATAACTCCTATACATCATCAGTAAACTACTGTTGCCTAAATTTAATAGTGTCATTTACTATGTTTATCATTATATGCCTTCTATATGACCTATCTGTATATATATAATGTGTTAGACTTGCAATTTTTTATTGATAGACTTCAGTCCTGTGAAATTTTACCCAATATAACCCCTTTTTTATAAGCAAGCAAACCTTTAACCCTCACTCACTAAGCAAATGCTTTAGTTAAATGAAACACAAGGAGCTGAAGATTTTCAAGGCAGCACATGATGCGTATGCTAGTCCTACAAAAACTAGATGTTAGTCCAAAATGAAACAAGTAAAACATTTGCAGCTGAACATACACATTGCAACAAAGAAAAGAGTATACATCTCCCAGTTAATACTATATTCCAGAGTTTGCATTCCCTATCATGACTTCCTTGATAGAGGGTTGCTGCTCACAAGGGAGTTATTAAATCAAGAGTTCCAAATAGTGAAGTTGAAGTCATCCCTTCGAAAATTTTACTGACACCATCACAAGTTGGTTGATCATTATGGAATATCTGTTTCACAGATGACGACAGATATGTTCCAATTTTCATAACCACACTCCGTCCTCTATTCCTCAAATCTGTCCCACCAAATTAGACTTATCACCAGGTTTGTACTTACATGAGCAACACGACGGCTGTCAAATGTGGAGCAGGATCTGCTTATCCTTCCAGAGCACCTGAGATCACCCATGGTTTTGGTGAGGTTTCTGTTGCCCAGTCTTTAGTTTTCTATGTTGTGTTTTATATACTGCCGTTTGTCTTTTTGTCGTTTTTAGTTTTTTGCCCTTGTGTTGTCAGTTTGTTTTTCGACTTAAATGAGTTTGAATGTCACATTCATATCTTTTGAATCTCTTTTAGAACGGTAATGTTTGTAAAGAATTTAGGAAAAGGAATAACTTTGTGAAAAGGACACAGATTTGAAGCTGGATGAATATTTGACTCTTACATATTATCCTAATCTGACAAAACCAAAGAAGCTACATTCTGTTTGCTTTAAACTTATATGTATAACATTGAGGTACAGTTTACATAGATCAGCAGTCTTTAACATACACCACTAATCATGGACAATTTGTGGACCTTCAAATGCTGAAATACTTTATACTAAAATATAAATCCAATTATGTAAACACTTCATTTTAATGTTCAAATGTTTAAAAGGCAATCTTGAATTTATTATTTTTTGGGCTATAAGTAGTCTTTCCCCGAATTCAGTTATGATTTTCTAATATTTGTAGATCTTATCTATCTGAAAAAATTTGAAAACGCTAACAGCAGACTGACAATTGATGCCAAATGATGGTAATAGCTTACATGGACCTTTTCCTCCAAATGACTAAAAAAAGACCACAGATACATAGCTTTAATAGCTTATATTGCTCTTTTTATTCTTTCTTTGTTTTACCAGTTTATACAACTTGCAGATAACAGAAAAGGACAATAAATAATGTTTAGGACAATGTCAATAGACCACATTGTTTATATACCCTTGTCATTACCCAAAATCTGAGTTGATCAGTTGTACTTTTAAAGTTCTGAAAAGTCGAAATTAATGGATATAAATTGACAATATTGCTCCTTATAACAGAAACCTAGTAAACTGTCAATGTAAATCAATTTTAGCATATAATAACATTCAAATTTCCATCTGATAAAAACAGATGATAAATAATTATCAATAAATAGTATAGAATCAAAAGTTTGTTCTTCAAGCTTTAATAACTGAAATCATGATATATGTATCTATTCCTGAATTTCAGTTTTTATTTCACTGTCTTCACAGTCAGATTCTTCCACATAAGAAAACTCTTCATCATTTACTTCTCCAAGAGCAGATAACCCTTCTGTATCAAAACTATCCTCACTTGTAGCACTTATGATTTCATCATCATCCATTGGTGATAAGGGATCAACAATAATACCACCCTCTAGTCTTTTATCAAGGTCGCCTGTTTGGGATGTATCATCATTTTCCTTCTTGTCTGAAGATTCTATTTTGCTTTCATCCTGTTAAAATATCATTCGATACTAAATTCCATATTAGTACTTATGTAGGTTATTGTATATTGAAATATTACTAGTACTTTCTCCAGAGTCCTATATAAAAAAAATTTACTTCTCTTGCACTTATAATATTTATCTGTCAGAATGTTTTATCAGATACTTTGAATAGATGTTTTAGCCTTTGAAATGTTTGAAAACTTATCATATAAGCAGAATTCTGATAAATGAGTAAATCAAAAAAGTGTATATCTTCAATAATTTACAGGACATGCTTAACCTGTAAAGACATTAATTAACCAAGAATTTATAAACAAATTAATCCAACATTGTTCTTAATAAAAAATAATATGAGCACTGGTCATTAGATAAATCTTGAAGGCCTAAAAGACAAACCTGTAGAAAGTGTGTTCTCATGTGTTCTTTAACATGACATTTCCTTGTGAATGATTTTCCACACATAGGACATAAGAATGGTTTAATACCACCATGAGATCTCATATGGGCTTTTCTGTTCTCTTTTCCTATAAAATAAAGTGAATATCTATCATCTCTGACACTGATAAATATTCTTTTTTTTCCACATTTTTCACTTCTAATTTAAACAAGTGTAAAATTGATTAAAACATATAGCTCTTTAACTATTCAAGTATTTATACATCCTTGCCTTTCAATTTTTTGGGAATGAGCGTTCCTGATTAAGGTAAATTCAGGACCGCTGACTAAATTTTCTTGATTTTCAGTAAATCTTCAATGGTATTGTGTGCATTTCCTATTTTATTTTATTTTTTTGGTTCCTATTAGCATAAAATATGCAAAACCATATCTACAAAACTGATGAAAGTTGGCTAGACCAAACAATATTTTTTTTGGATTTGTATGGCCACACCAAATTAACAGCTTTATATTTGACGGAAATATTTTAATAAAATAATATTGTATATCTAATACAGTAAGAAGAAATTGGAAGAATTTCTCACAAACACTAGATTTTCTTAGACCAAAAATGTGCCTTAAGGTAGATGGGGTGTCTAAATTATAATCCATAGATTTTTTTAATAATTTGCCAAAATGTAGTTTATATCATGCTTTTTAAAAAAAAATAATAAAAAGAATGGGTCACGGGGCTTATTTTCACGCTACAGGTTGTTCAAAATTGACAGATTTTGTATAGATTATGTATGGAAAACCCAATTTTCAGCCATAAAACGAAAACTTCACCATAGAATTTTGAGATAAAATATGAGAAGGTAGCTTTAATAGTATGCTTTCAGATAAGAAAAAGAAAAAATGGGGTCACCGAACCCGTTTTCTTGCTACATAATAAAATAGGTAAATTCCTAACACATTCTATTATAAAAGTACCTTTATCTGAATTATCTGCCCTTTCATTTGAGTTGCCTCCCCTTATGTGGCAAAGTTGGAAAAAATTGAATCAAACGAAAGTTTTCTGTTTTTTGTAAAATACAACCATAAATATGATAAAACATGTCATTTTCTATATTGAAATGAAAATTCTTACACATGAATTACCTACTACTCTCAAAATTTGCACATTCTATTAAAGATCTAGACCGATTGCTTTCTGGTATTTCAAAATCCAAGATGGAGGAAGACACCCTATCTACCTTAATGGCCCTTTTCCTTTGATAAGCATAAAAGGAACATGTGTCTTCACACAGGTACTATTCAACAACAGCCAATAAATGTCATATTCAACATTGTTTTAATGTTATTGTCAAAACAGCACAGGCTCTGGTGACAATATTGGATGAATGGTGAGTTAGCAAAAAGAAACTTTGAAACTTCCCAAGATCAAAAATGTTCAGTTGCAATGGTCCTATTGGTTTTAAAGAAGAAAATTAAAATGTGAAATGATAACCATCAGTATGATCAGACAAAGCTATAAAGCAAATTAGCTGCAGTATAAAATGACTATCTGACAGTGATCCTCTGAATTGCCCGAGCTAAAACTCTTTATATATGCTTCTCAATGATTTGAATTTATGTCATGTGTGGTATTACATGACTAGTTGTTATCTCAAAAGTCACAAAACAAAATGCAAAAAGGATCAACAAGATTGATACTTACTTGCAAATCTTTTGTGGCATACTGGACACTCATAAGGTTTCTCTCCACTATGTGACCTCATGTGAATGTTTAAGTTCCTTGCCAAGGCAAACACCTTCTGACAGACTGGACATGGAAACTTTGACCCTGTAAAACGAGAATTTAGATTTTTCTTGAAAGATTTACGTGCATGTAATAACTTTATTGCAAAAAAGTAGAATTAAGGAGCTGGGAAAGTGCATTCAAAGCAATCTTTCATAATGCATTTAGTCAATGAATTAGGATGATGAATTGTGATATGGCTATGAAAGAACTTGAAATATAAGTACAATTTCAAAGTGTTAGAAAATAAGGTTTGAACAGTGCAATTCTTCGGTATTTGCAAAACAAATAGGAAATAATGACCCTTCAGCCAAAAAAAATACATCAAATCAAAACTGGCAAAAACATTACATGAAAAATTAACCTAAATCAGTTTCTTGACCAACTCTTCTCTCATACTTGTATCATTTTTTAGAACAAGAGTTATTTCCCTTTGAATAGCTTAAAGTCTTGATTTTTACAAGAAATTGAACTGACAATAGGTTTTTCATTCCTATAAATGCATAGCTATAATTTTCATTAATCTAAACACTTTTTACACTGTTGCATAATTTATACCCTGAATTTAAATCATAATATTCCAGGACTGTGACAAAATTCATTTAACATTGAGCAGTGATATAATCAAGAGGTCTATTCTCTAAACAATTACCAGGTTTGTGTATCCTCATGTGTCCCTGTAAACTACTGGTACAAGCAAATTCTTCTCCACACTCTGTGCACTTGTAAGTCTTCTTCTCAGTGTTCAAGTCTGCATTGGAATGACTGGAGAAGAAATGTTGTTGTAACCAAGCCATACTGTCAAATACTTCAGAACAAAGAGAACATTTGTAATTCTGCTCTCTTTTCTCATGGATTTTCTGGTGATTGTTTAAATTGATTTGACTGATAAATTCTTTGTCACATTTATCACATTTAAAGTTGAGAGATTTTACCACAGGGTTAGGAGATTTTGATGTTTTTGTGGAATGTTGATACAGGTGATTTTCAAGTTCAGCACTAAAGAAAAACTTCTTGCTGCACTCAGAACAATGATAAAGTCTTGCTTCTAAATCATGCTCAAAGGAATGTGCCTGAATTTCAGCTGCATTTTTATAAACCTTCAAACAAACAATGCAGGCATATTCTGAGTTTTGATATGTGTGTTCAATGAGATGACATTGTAATTTTGCTGGTGAATCAAAGGATGTGTTACAAAGCTTACATTCCTGTATATTTCCTTCATTTATCAAATGTTGTGTCACATGGGCCTGAATTTCTTCCTCACTGTTGAAGGATTCATGACATTTTATGCACTGGTATCTCTGTTTGTGAGTTTTTGAGTGACGATCCAATTCTTCATTAGATGAAAACATCAGATTGCAGTCTTTACACTGATAGGATGATCTGTCACCATGGTAGCATGTTTTACACACAAAGTATTGTCCTCCATTGCTGTAGATCTTTGATACTAAATTTTCCCTATTATCAAATGATTTGTAACAAACACAACAAGAGTTTGCTAATGACTTCATCTGAAAATGATGGTTGCCATGCATCTGGAGTTCTGTCATGGTAACCAAAGTCTGTCGGCAGATAATACACTGCATGTATGAACTCTGGAATCCATGTTCTTGTGAATGTAAATAAAACTGATCTTCTGTTGCTAAGGGAATTTTACACAATACACATTCATTCCCTTGCTGTATTTTACAGTGGGACAATTTGTGTTCAGCTAAATTACCGTTGGTTTCAAAAACTTCATCACAAATGTTACATTTCAAGTTACCATTATTCAGGTGTATTTTGGTATGTTTATCCAAGTCATTTCTGTTCTTAAATGTTTGACTACAGTATTTACAAGCTAAATGAAACTTATCATTCACAACAACAACAGGGAGTGACATAGAGGTCGATGCAAATGACATTGGAACATCAGCAGGTTCCTGTTTTGGAGCACTTATAAATTCATCACCATTAGCAATAGGACTCATACATCTACGCTTATTTGACAATCCATGATCGATAGCCTTATGTTTCATCAGACCAGATTGCTGGGCAAACTTCATATCGCATATATTACAAGTATGTAACATTTCTGTGTTCTTCCAAATCCCTGGCGCTGAACTAGGAGAATACTGTGGAATCTGAACTTCTGACCTTTCGGGTGTTGCCTGGTTTGGTTCTGCTTTAATTTTCAAGGGAGATAACTGCTTATCAGTAGAGTTACCATGTGCATTCTGCATATGAAGGTCCAGCAGGTATTCCACATGGAATGATTGTTCACACATTGGACAAGGATACAGTTTGTTATGTGTTGTTAAATGGCATTGTAGATCCATTTCACTTGTAAAACTTTCCTTACAAAACAAACACCTGCAAAAGACAAAATCTTTTTATTAAGTTTTTCTTACAATTTCAGATATTCTAGAACATGTAAAAATTTGTTTATTCGGCAAAGGAAAGGCCTAATATTTATCATTACTTTTTACCTCTCAGCTAGTGTTTTAGACTTTAAAAATTGTATTTGATGTTTTATAATTATATGCTACTTGAAAACTGAGTGGAAACATGGTCTTCCTTTTTAATGACAAATTAATCCAGCATGTTCTGAAATAATACATTTATCTTGTGTGTTTTCCTTAAAAAAATTTGAACAGAAATTTTAATCAACATAGTTTTTATTACATTTACATTAAGAATATATATATGAAAAAAAACAGTAGGAAAGTTAACAAACTTTCATAGGCAAAACAAATATTACTTTGAATTTGATAATTAAGGGTATATGTTTCCATTTTTACATGTTATTTTTTGTTGATCATTTGAGAAATTTTAGATACAAGTGATTGCACTTTTTGCTTTCTGTTTTTCTCTTAAAAAGGGTGCAATCATGACTGTAAAAATGAAACTATCAATAATAATTCAAATTCAATCACAGTTTGAAGATATTAAACTTCTTAAATTGGCACATATTAATTAAAGTCTATTGTACAGATCCATTTTAGGATTTCTGCAATTATTGTCTTCATGACCTTACAAAAAGCAGTATGTAAGGACACAATTAATTAGAAGGCTTGGTAAACTTCAGATGTCCTAGTAAACCTTACTGTTTTGTGTATAGTAATAAATGCACACAATAACTTCCTCTTTTTCAAGATCCCTATACCATTAGTTTTTTTGTTTGAATTGTTTCACATTTTGTCATGATGAGGCCTTTTATAGCTGAATAAACAGCATGGGTTTTGCTTATGGTTGGAGCCCTATGGTGACCTATAGTCGCATAAATCCACATCATTTGGACTCTGGTGGATAGTTGTCTCATTAATTTTCATACCATGTCTCCTTATATTCAAATGAATATTCAAAGAAAAAACTACATCCAATACATCACAGTAATGACCTTTGTTCCAAGTATCCTCATGGTACAGATATCTTAATAAACACTGAAGTAAAGTAATGACCTTTATTCCCTGTATCCTCATGGTACAGATATCTTAATAAACACTGAAGTAAAGTAATGACCTTTATTCCAAGTATCCTCATGGTACAGATATCTTAATAAACACTGAAGTAAAGTAATGACCTTCATTCCCTGTATCCTCATGGTACAGATATCTTAATAAACACTGAAGTAAAGTAATGACCTTTATTCCCTGTATCCTCATGGTACAGATATCTTAATAAACACTGAAGTAAAGTAATGACCTTTATTCCCTGTATCCTCATGGTACAGATATCTTAATAAACACTGAAGTAAAGTAATGACCTTTATTTCAAGTATCCTTATGGTACAGATATCTTAATAAACACTGAAGTAAAGTAATGACCTTTATTCCCTGTATCCTCATGGTACAGATATCTTAATAAACACTGAAGTAAAGTAATGACCTTTATTCCCTGTATCCTCATGGTACAGATATCTTAATAAACACTGAAGTAAAGTAATGACCTTTATTTCAAGTATCCTCATGGTACAGATATCTTAATAAACACTGAAGTAAAGTAATGACTTTTATTCCAAGTATCCTTATGGTACAGATATCTTAATAAACACTGAAGTAAAGTAATGACCTTTATTCCAAGTATCCTCATGGTACAGATATCTTAATAAACACTGAAGTAAAGTAATGACCTTTATTCCCTGTATCCTCATGGTACAGATATCTTAATAAACACTGAAGTAAAGTAATGACCTTTATTCCAAGTATCATCATGGTACAGATATCTTAATAAACACTGAAGTAAAGTAATGACCTTTATTCCAAGTATCCTCATGGTACAGATATCTTAATAAACACTGAAGTAAAGTAATGACCTTCATTCCCTGTATCCTCATGGTACAGATATCTTAATAAACACTGAAGTAAAGTAATGACCTTTATTCCCTGTATCCTCATGGTACAGATATCTTAATAAACACTGAAGTAAAGTAATGACCTTTATTCCCTGTATCCTCATGGTACAGATATCTTAATAAACACTGAAGTAAAGTAATGACCTTTATTTCAAGTATCCTCATGGTACAGATATCTTAATAAACACTGAAGTAAAGTAATGACTTTTATTCCAAGTATCCTTATGGTACAGATATCACACTGAAGTAAAGTATAACAAGAAAGTTAACAATGAAATGTAAAGCTTACCTGTAAGGTTTCGCTACATGTAGATGGTTGACTCGGACATGGACCTCCCATTCCATCTCAGATCGGAACACAGAGTCACATTTGGTACATTTATACAGCTTACACTCATTACTATGTTTTATAGCAAAGTGGACCTGGATGTTAACTTTGGAATCAAATATCTCTTTACATAGAGAACACCTGAAAACATATTTTTTTGTTTTATTGTTTACCAAAACATGTCTACACAAAGCAATGATAAATGGTTAACAAATAAAATAATTTTATTCAGCCCTGCGAAACAAACACACTTCTTTTTAATATGAATAGAAATTTGCTTTGTGAGATCCAACATACTAGTGTAAAAGTATAAATTGTTCAATTTTCTGAGGCGAGAGATTTTTTTTAGTAAAAGCTTCAAATTATTTTAGAGTTATTTCCCTTAGAATATTAAATAAATTCTACAAGCACAAATATTTCCACCAGATCTACAAATCTTTTTCTTTTTTGGCAAGAATGGAAAGTGTAGAACATCATTTCTAAAACAAACCTGAACAGATGATGAGCATGGATGTCCATCAAATGTTTCTGAAGCTCATCTGGTTTGGAGAATAACTTCATACAAGTAGTACATCCATACTCTGTGGTCATGCTGAGGAAATGTGTTGATGTATGTTTCTCTAATTGTTCCTCTGTTGGAAATTGATTTTTACACACTTTACACGTAAACTGCACCATTGCAGAGGAAATGTGTAAGTTAACATGAGCCTGGAAATTCTTAATGTCATAAAATGTGGCATTGCAGTGGTCACAGGTGATGGACTCTTGGTGTGATGACCTGTTGTGACTTGGACTCTTTGATAATTGGGAGTCTTTCATAGTTCGCTTGGCATCAGTTGGACTTGATAGATATATACTGCTCGGTGATGGTCTTCTGTCTGCCTGATTGCTAAAAGTTTGATTAGGAGTTCTTAGATGGCTTGCAGTATATGTTGGAACTTTAATTTCTACAAGTTCAGTGGGTTCCTTTTTTGGAAAGTTTAGAACGGTTTTATCAGGTGTTCTTCTTTCTGGCCTAATATCCTGCTTTACTTTTAAACTTTTATCTTTATCAGAACCTACGGAGCTTGATCTTGAACCTGAACTTCCGCTAGAGTTTTTTTCTTTGTAATGGGCAACTTTCTTGTGAATAGATAATGACTCTATACTTGAGAAATGTCTGGAGCAGAGTGTACATGGATATTTAATGTCCATGCATGGCTGGTTCTGGTGTACTGCTCTCATGTGTTCATGTAGACTGTACAAGTTATGGTACGGTGCATTACAGTAGTTACATGTGTACACTTCTGTGGAGCGTACATTGTGTATACTCTGCATGTGTAATTCCAAAACTTCAAGCGAGTCAAAATCACTACAGAAGCAGTACGGACAGACTAACATGTCTTTTGATTTCCCAGGACTCTGGTCAGGATTATATACAGGACTTTCTCTATGGCTTACACTCAGGTGATTACAAAGAGCATCATAACTGAAGAAATTTTTCTGACAGACTGGACACTGGTTCCTTCTGTCATTCATGTGACTGGTTTCAACATGCTGGTCTAAAGCTTTCTTCCCCATACATATTTCTCCACAGTAAGTGCACTGGAACACTTTTTCTGCAGGACTACCCTCACAACTATGAACAGACATGTGGGCTTGAAGTTCTGTAGCAGATAGAAAAAACTTGTCACATTTCATACAACGAACAGATTGTAGACTTTCCATGTCACTTTTGTGAATGGCCTGATGAGCTGTCAGTGCTGGACCTGATGTAAACCCTCTGTTACATAGGTGGCACTGGTACAGCTTTGCACTGTCATGTGTTTTCATGTGGCTCTTCAAGTGATCACTCCTAAAAGAACAAATCATGAAAATATTATACGCTGACCTGCCTTTCAGAAAAGGTCATACAACTTTACAACCAGTAGTAATTTGTACAGTTCAAGGGTGTTATTTGAAAATTAAAATTAGAGATTTGAGCTGGAGATGCAAGTACATTGGGGAATAACCAGACAGAAAAGGACAGGCATTGTTAATTTTCATCTTGAAGGTTGTTTTTTAATTCATATGAGAAAAATCTAAGTGCATAAGTGTGATAAAATGTGTCATTATTACTGAACAGCTAAAGACATTTTTGTGTTATCTCATTCTTGTTCTATTCACTTAGATATATAGGTATTGTGAAATAAGTAACAGGACCTTTTGGAAATTAGAGTAACCTATGTGTAAGTGAAACAATGCTACACTCATTTTATCAGCATATATCATTATTATCGTCATGTTTGTCACTTATTGGATAAGTAGTACAAACAATCAGATTAGATGTTTGGTAAAGTGTATCTAAAAGAGTCACAAAAAGAACAATAAGCATAAAGATAAAAGCATGATCCATCAGCTAGGTACATGGTTAAATAGTTCACTTACTACTTTATATGTCTACAATGCATGCTAATTTGATTATGATTAAGGTGGAATATTACTTGTAGTCAATGCATTTCATTCATAATTATTACTTCAACTCACTGAAGAGTTATAACCAAATGTATGAAAACTTGTTATTTTTATGCCCCACCTAGGGGCATTATGTTTTTCGGTCTGTGCGTTCGTTCGTTCGTCCGTCCATTCCTCCATTCGTCCGATCTTCCGTCTGTCCCACTTCAGGTTAAAGTTTTTGGTCAAGGTAGTTTTTGATGAAGTTGAAGTCTAATCAACTTGAAACTTAGTACACATGTTCCCTATGATATGATCTTTCTAATCTTAATGCCAAATTAAGAGTTTTAAACCCCAATTCACCGTCACGGTCCACTGAACATAGAAAATCCGTCTGTCCTACTTCAGGTTAAAGTTTTTGGTCAAGGTTGTTTTTGATGAAGTTGAAGTCCAATCAACTTGAAACTTAGTACACGTGTTCCCTATGATATGATCTTTCTAATTTTGATGCCAAATTAGAGTTTTGGCCCCAATTTCACGGTCCACTGAACATAGTAAATGATAGTGCAAGTGGGGCATCTGTGTACTATGGACACATTCTTGTTATATATGTTTGAGAGTCCGATTTTACGTGTATTTGTAGATTTTTTTGCTGTCTTCAGATAACAGAATCTTTTTTTTTTTCAAACAGCTTTTCCCTTGATCTAAATGCATTATTTAACAGTAACCTTGCAAATGCAGAAGAACACTGCATACACTTGTACTTCTTGTCTCCTGTGTGCATTTTTACGTGTCTGTCCCGGCTCCTTTTGTGTCGAAATAATCTTTTACAATAATCACATTTGAAGGGTAGTTTATCTTCGTGTATCTGAAATCAAATAAATTGTTCATTCACAATATCTATAAAAATAAAGTCATAAAATGAATGTATTTTTTTCAAAAAAAGAAAATTGAAGTTTAATATTTTTGGTCTCAGTGTCTCACTCTTTCTCTCTATTCCATAATTCTTGCACTCAAACATATTGCTACAAAGTAGTAAAACCCTAATTTGATGGAAAACTCTGATTGACTAGAACATCCTATTCACATGTACACCTGCATATAACATTGTATCAAACCTCTGTCCAATGTCCACAAGAGTAAAGTCAAATTCATCTGTGTTGTAGTGATTTTGATAACTATAGTAGGTAAAGAATGGAACTTTCCTTCAATTTATTCCTCTTTACTAACTTTATATCCCCCCAAATCCCAACCCACCCCACCCATACTGGTACCAACCGTTTTAAGGTTTAGGGGAGGAGCTGGATTTTTATGTTGATTGAAAAAAAAAATTTAAAAAATTGTGAATTAATTTACTTTAAAAACACAAACAGACTTTTTGAAACAATTTTTTCACCAAAATTTATGACCAAAAGTATTTTTCCCAAAACTTTCACTTATTAAATGATAGCTATAGGCTGTCTGTAACTTGCAGTGAGGTGTGAGCTTTTGTTCTGTTTTGAAGGCTTAAATATAATTTTGAGATGAGGAACAACAATGAAAAGTTTTTTTGAGACATGTTAGGGTAATTTCATTAATAAATACACCATACCCTTTATTTTCCATTGATGCCTTACAATTAATGTAATACAAAAGTGATTATTGGTAATTAGTCAACTACAATGTATTTATTTTATTATATTTTCATTTAGAATATTGTTTTTTTAAAGGTTAATATAAATTCCAGGTTTTGGTTGTTGTGAGAGGATAATTAAGGACATCAATCATTGCATATACGAGGGTCTGGATTGGGATCCTTCATTTCTGTATTCTTTAATTTTTTAGGCCATTTTTCCTACTCTTTAGACTTTTTGCCCATTGTTCTCCAATCTTTATATTTTAGCTCTCATTATTCTCTACTCTTTAATATTTTGGTCCACTTTTCTCTATTCTTTATATTTTTTGCCCATTATTCTCTATTCTGTAAATTTTTACCCCCATCCACACCCTCGATCTCATAAACAGCCTCTCCTTTTAACAAATTCAACTCTTTTCTGTAAATACATTTTTATTTTTAGCACATCTATTGGAATAGCTCAGATGTTTTATTACTTTATCAAATATGTATTTCTAATTAGATTTGTTTTTCAATTTCACCAATCAAATCCAATACTTACAGATTTCAATATCCAACAATCAATTTAAAAAATTCAAAATCCAATGTGTCTACAAAACTTACACCTTCAACACTTTTCAAAGTTCAATCATGTTTTTTCCAATATTATCATAAGAAAACATTTAATGTAAACTGCTAATTACACATGTGACACCATTGTGAACTTTTGGCTTTTATAATGAGTTTCTCTACTGAGTAACATATTGTTCGCATCAACATGTGTTAAAACATCACAAAATGGTGATTAAACTAATAAAGATAACATATACATTACTACATGAAAATGCTAAATTTAAAATGCCATAAAGAAAGACTTCTATTTTAGGAAAACTGAATAAATATATACATATTTTCTTGTAAGTGGTCAATTTGTATTGTCACAATTATTAGCTAAAATAAATGAATTCCAATCCATGTTTGACCGAAGCTGTATTTCTGACAATGAAATCTGATAGAATGTGATCTTACTCCAACAGTTACGTCAGAGTCAAAGTGAATTTAGTCTAAATAGTAAATATAAGGTGAGAGACCCAATAAATATTCAAAGTGCAACAGTTCCTGGGTCATAATATAGCTTAGAGATCAGAACATATGTTTATGTGATGTGAAAATGAACATGCTTTATACTTGAATATGGAATTCTATACACCTAGTTCACAATGTGTTCACAGGAAGACAGGTCCTAACATTGTATGTCCTTTGACTTCTTAATGTTGGGTGAAAAGAAGCAGAAAGGACAAATTTCCTTGATTAAAGTTGGCTTTAAACAACTAGAATATTTATTGATATTTGTAAATTGATGCAATCCATTTTTGACATCACTTGATTTTTTTAATATAAATGAAAAGAAACATGAGGTACAAATCAATGAGTAAGTTACCAAAACCACTAATTTGGGCATGGTCAGAAAAAACATACAAGAAAGTAGTAAATATATGAAACAAAATTGCTCCTATGGATAGCTGTAACTTTGTCAAAAAGTAAAAATTTGGGTAAAGAAAAAGGTCCAGTAAGGGCTAATTTTGCCCTAATATTATGAAGTAAATCTGATAAAAGATTTTTTACATTTTTTAAACACTTTTTAAAAGCGTCTACTTCAGTCGATTCAATTAGTTTATAATAAAGAATTTGAACTTATCTGATCATTTAAGATGCTCAAATCCAAGCTTAAATCTGAAAAATCTATCAAATATGCCATAAAAAGATCTTTTCAGATGGTTTTTTGTCTCATATGTAATAAATTTGTAGTTTTATTCCTAAAGGATCATCAAGTGCAGAGCAGATGTCATTTTAACCAATGTGTTGTCATTCACTGATGGTGACGAAATAAACTTTTTGGAGTCAGGTGTATCTAACCCTGCTGTCACATAACCATGACAACAAAATCTATAATCCCTGAAATCCCACTAATGTTTTTCATACAACTGATGTTGTAAAAATTCATCTGCCCTTTATATGAACTCTATCTTAGTATAGTATGGATAAGAATCAGTTTTTTTTAACATGCCAATACACTGTTCAACATATCCCACCAACCAAAAAAATGGATAATATCTTACCAAGGTAAATTCTAAAACAAACTAATCTGAGAGGTAAATTCTGTAACTAACTAATCTAAGGAAAGGTAAATTGTGATATTTCCTAATCTGAGGCAAGGTAAATTCTGATACTAACTTGTTTGAGGCAAGGTAAATTCTGTTACTAACTAATCTGAAGCAAGGTAAATTCTGATACAAACTAATTTGAGGCAAGGTAAATTCTGATATATCTACTAACTAATCCGGGACAAGAAAATTTCTGATACAAACTTATCTGATGCAAGGTGAATTCTGTTACTAACTAATCAGAGGCCAGGTAAATTCCGATACTAACTAATCAGAGACAAGGTAAATTCGGATACTAACTAATCTGAAGAAAGTTAAATTTTTATAATTATTAATCTAAGGCAAGGTAAATTCTGATACTAACTAATCTGAGGCAAGGTGAATTCTGATACTAACTAATCTGAGGCAAGGTAAATTCTAATCTTACAAGGTGCCTAGATTTCTTCCATGTATAAGTACTATTACCTGTTCATGTATTTTCAAGTATGAAAGTCTGGGGAAAGCTTTTGTACAGAACTGACAGCCATAGGGATTATTCTCTGATACAACATCTGCCCCTGGGACCTGTTCTGGGGTAAAGTCTTCTTCCATGGCCTCCTCCTCACCAGAGAGATCCTCTCCATTGTCAAGATCAGGAGAATCCACAGAGTCATGTTCCTGTTTGTTGTTTTCGTCAAAGCCATCTGTATGCCAGCTGTTCTTCTCTGACAGGTTACCTAAAACATAATTTCTGAATGGTTACCAACATGTAAATATTAATTTCTGAATGGTCACCAACATGTAAATATTAATTTCTGAATGGTTACCAACATGTAAATATTAATTTCTGAATGGTTACCAACATGTAAATATCAATTCCTGAATGGTTACCAACATGTAAGTATTAATTTCTGAATGGTTACCAACATGTAAATATCAATTTCTGAATGGTTACCAACATGTAAATATTAATTTCTGAATGGTTACCAACATGTAAGTATTAATTTCTGAATAGTTACCAACATGTAAATATTAATTTCTGAATGGTTACCAACATGTAAATATTAATTTCTGAATGGTTACCAACATGTAAATATTAATTTCTGAATGGTTACCAACATGTAAATATTAATTTCTGAATGGTTACCAACATGTAAGTATTAATTTCTGAATAGTTACCAACATGTAAATATTAATTTCTGAATGGTTACCAACATGTAAATATTAATTTCTGAATGGTTACCAACATGTAAATATTAATTTCTGAATGGTTACCAACATGTAAATATCAATTTCTGAATGGTTACCAACATGTAAGTATTAATTTCTGAATAGTTACCAACATCTAAATATTAATTTCTGAATGGTTATCTTAAAATTGTTGTCCTTAAATAAGCTTGAAATGGTCTTTTATACTTTTGTATAGAGTTCATGAATTTTTCCTTTCAGAAAGATAGGTTTTTCTTTGAAGAAACAACCCGGATAATACCAAGTTTTAATGAAATTTGCTTCAAAGCATAAAACAATGACCTGTGTAAAGTCATTATATTTACCTTGATTAAAAGGCAAATTACAGATTGTTAAAATATTTACATGTAATTCATTTGATAGCAAGCGTGTGTTGTTGACAATTTGGGTTTTACTGTACAATTTACCATCTTTAATATTTTTTAAAGGTTTTAGGCAGAAACAATCTTTTCCAGGTTTAATCAACCATTTTCTACATAAGGAAATGCCTGTACCAAGTCAGGAATATGACAGTTGTTTTCCATTCGTTTGATGTGTTTGAGCTTTTGATTTTGCCATTTGATAAGGGACTTTCCGTTTTGAATTTTCCCTTGGAGTTCAGTGTTTTTGTTATTTCACTTTTTTCCATTTATGAGATTGAAATACTATAGCTAATACCAGAAAAAGTCTTTAATAACAGTTTAACTTTCTACACAAATAATGTTACATTTTGTTAATTTATCGCTACATAAAGGTGTAATCAGAGAGCATGATTTGCCTTCCAAAATTCCTTATTGTACCAGCCGGGATTTGATCCTGTAACCCCTGCACAGTAAGCCAATGCTCTACCAACTGAGCTAAATCTAAATAAAATATTAATTCTTTAACATATTTATCCTTAAACTTAAACCTGGGAATGAACTAATTTCACAGTATCTTTGTTCAGAGAACCATAGAATCAAGGTCAAAACCATAATCTGGTATATAATTTAAAAACTACTATCATCATAATATATAAGTGTACTAAGAAAAACTTTTCAAATATACCAGGCTTATAATTTTGTAAGTTTCAAGTTGATGTGACTACATCTTTATGGTAAGCTATCTTAACCAAAAACTGTAACCTGATACAGGACAGATTAACAGACAGGTGGTTAAACAAACAATCAGACAGATAGAGGGATGGACACAAAGACCAGAAAACCAGAAATAATAAAGAAATAAATATTCTAATAAAAATCTGTGTCCATTAAGCTCTAGAACACCAAGCCTTCCCATGTTCAGTGAATCAAGTAACTGAGGTAAGATTTTATATTTTGCCATAAAATTTGAAGAGTTCATATGAAAATGAACATATGTACTAATTTTTAAGTTTATAAGACCACAACTTCATGGTAAAATATCTTTGCCAAACACTTTCACCTGATACAGGATGGACAAACAGAAGGATGAACACAGACTGAAACCACATTGACCCCTACTGTTGCACTGGCAAGGAATAAAAGTAGTTTTAATGTGTTCTTGCAATATTGTGTCAAATTTGTCTAAAACAGTAATATTCATGCAATGTGCAAATTTTGATTTTATGGAAAAATGTACAATTATTGAAAATGTTTAAGAATATCACATAGGCTTTTCGAAATATTCAAATTTATGAAATAAACAAGATTGTGTTCATAGTACACGGATGCCCCACTCGCACTATCACTTTCTATGTTCAGTGGACCGTGAAATTGGGGTAAAACTCTAATTTGGCATTAAAATTAGAAAGATCATATCATATGGAACATGTGTACAAAGTTTCAAGTTGATTGGACTTCAACTTCATAAAAAACTACCTTGACCAAAAACTTTAACCTGCCCACTTGCACCATCATTTTCTATGTTCAGTGGACTGTGAAATTGGGGTCAAAACTCTAATTTGGCATTAAAATTAGAAAGATCATATCATAGGGAACATGTGTTCTAAGTTTCATGTTGATTGGGCTTCAACTTCATCAAAAACTACCTTGACCAAAAACTTTAACCAGAAGTGAGACAGACAGACGGACGGACGGACGGACGGACGGACAAACGGACGAACAAACGGACGCACAGACCGAAAAACATAATGCCCCTAGGTGGGACATAAAAAGGGTAGATTTACTCTATCTCTTTGAAATTTCCAATTAGAATTAAGATTTACCTCTAATGTTGTTTTTCATCCAATTAAAATGAAATATAGAACTTGAACAATATTATCATTTGTATTTTTTTTCTAGGTTTCTTTTTGGTTTTGCCATTAAAATAAAAAACTTTTGGTTCAATATGTTTTAAGTAAGACATAGCTTTTGTTTATCTTCCGTCTATTTGAAACCTATCAATGATTTCTCTACTTTTCTCACAATTTATTTACAAAGATGTCCAAATGATTTTCATGGTTATATCATAAAATGCCTGCTAACAGTTTTACGTTCAAAATACCTACAATACAATTATAAACAATGAAAAACAGACTAAAAAGCAAATTTCCAACAATAAATTTAAAGTAAAACCCCTAGTGTCATAGAAACATTATCTAGTTTTTACTAATAGCCTTTGATATTCATACATCAATGTTCCAAAACTACCACAGGGATTTTAACATTCACAGATTTTACTTAACTAATCTCATCCAAATATTACACTTTCATAAAATAAGGAATAATGGTATTGGAATTCTAGGATATGATCAGCCCAGGATGAACTATTACTATCCAAGCGAGAATTCCAAATCTTGATTGATACATAGCGAAAGTAAGGTCTTGTTGTGGTAATTATTTTTGTATTCCTCTGAGAAATATAAAATTACTTGAAGAAATTTCAGCATCCTGTTTTTCTTGTACCACTGGGAATTTTAGAATGTATTGTTTTGTGATTCCTTCCTTTGACAGCATGCAGTTCGACTATTAAAGCATCTATTCCCAATGACAAGCTTACCATTAAGAGATACTGGCAAAAAAAAAAAATCTGAATTTGCCAGAGTCGTTATATCACAACTCCATATTGAATTTTTACCCAACACCACTTCTCATGATGACTACAGGCCCAGTTCCAGCATTTGATGTTAGGGTTCCCTCCCACTAAGAATTAGGAAATATTGGACCTTTTTTTTTGGAAACAAAATCAGCTGTAATAATACCTTTATTACATTTTTTCTTTATTTTATTTTTTTTTGGTGGGAGGATGCACAATTAACTAGTTTTGAGGTTTTTATTTAAGGAATCAAGATTTAAAGAAAGAAGAAAGACAGGTAACATACAACATATAATTGACAACTGAAATTACAAAAAAAAGTAACTCATCAAACAGTTTCATATTGATCAATAAACAAATAAACAATGAAAATGTGTTCAAGGTCAACCCTGTTAGATGGATGTATGTACCTTACAAAAACGCCAAATAAAAAAATCACCAATTCCTTACTGAAAGTAAACAAGATTTCACACCATGAAATGTCTCACCTGCTTTACCTTTTATGATTGAACTTGATGTTAAAAGTCTGTTATATGAAGATTTTTCTACAAGTATCACATAAACTTGACATTACGATTGATGCATGAAATTGAGTTCAAGGTCAGATGAACCCTGCCAGACAGATATGTACACCTAACAATTGTACTTCATGTACGGGTATACACCAAATATAGTTACCCTATTGCTTATAGTATTTGAGAAACAGACCTAATTACAAAACTTGAACATTGACCAATGAATCATTAAAATGAGGTCAAGGTCAGATGAATCCTGCCAGACAACATGTTCACCATGCAATCATTTCATATACCAAATAAATCTGCCCTATTGCTTATATAGTATCTGAGAAACAGACTTAACCATGAAAACTTAACATTGACAAATGAACCATGAAAATGAGGTCAAGGTCAGATGAACCCTGACAGACAGACATGTATACCTTACCATCATTCCATATACAAAATATCTTTCACCTATTGCTTACAGTATCCGATAAATGGACAAAGCCATGTAAACTTACCATTGACCAATGAACCATGATAATAAGGTCAAGGTCAGATAAAACCTGCCAGACAGACATGTACACCTTACAATAATGCCATACACCAAATATAGTGGCCCCATAATGGCATTGCTTATAGTATCTAAGAAATAGAACAAACCACAAAAACTTAACACTGAACAATGAACCATGAAAATGATGTCAAGGTCTGATGAAACCTTTCTGTCTAACATGTACACCTTACAATCATTCCATACACAAAATATAATTGATCATTGCTTATAGTATATCTGAGATACAGACTTGACTACAAGAACTTAACCTTGATCACTGATCAATGAAATGAGGTCGAGGTCAGCTAAACCCTGTCTGATGAACATGTAAACCTTGCAAGCATTCAATATACCAAACATAGTTATCCTATTACTCATAAATGAGTAATTCACACGAAAAAAAAAAACTAAACATTTTTATCAAGCAGTCACTGATGAAAATTAGATCAAGGACAATGGA